GTTTGCCTCGTCGCGCGACTGCCCGAGCGACAGCGAAGCGGGTCACCGTCGCGTGTCTCGTTGCTCGCAGAATCGCTTGCATGCGGTTTATACTTAATATCGAGGCGCCAATGCTTCAGTGCTGTGTGCATGGAAATTAATTGAGTATAAACCGCATGTAAGCGATTTGGCGAGCGACCAGATAGGCGATGGCTACCCGCTTCGCTGTCGCTCAGTCAGTCGCGCGACGAGGTAAACCGCATGGAAGCGACGGAGCAAGCGACCAAGACGGTGAGCGACGTTTTCTAGAAATCCCAAAACCGAGCAGTGTGACGGGCGACTGTGAGAAATCTCCGTTGCTCGTCTCGTCGCACGCTAAATCGCTTACATGCGGGTCGGCTTTACGGAAACGAGTGCGCACATGCAGCGAGAAGCAAGACTGTGATAGCCTTACTGCGTCAATTGCAATTTACATATGTCACAATAGTGTTGACTGCCCTTTATTAGCGACCAAAACGTAAGAATGAGATGAACTTACATGGTCATTGAAGCCTCATTATCTTGTGTCGTCGACCCATTCGCTGTCCGATTCCATTTCACAAATAAGAAAATACAAGAGCTATGTCGAAATATAAATATCAAATGATTAATGAAAGTCCTTAGTATAAAAAAGACCTAAAGAAAATACAAGATTTCAACGCGGAACGCACAAAAAACACGAAAACGAGGCTCCGGTAGTGGCCTGTGCAGCACACAACGCGGAGCAACGGCGAGAAAATGAAGGTCGGCTATGGCGGCCCGGAAAGCGCGCGATGGGCGCGCCGACTGGTGGCAGCTTGAGTAACTGACTCGCTGAAAGCGTCTATACCAGACACTAGACAATGTCATATAAAAACATCAGTTGATTTAAAGATGTTGACCAGCCACCCTTTGGTCGATCTTATCTGAAATCACCCTATTATCGTTTTAAGTGGATTGCACTGTACAGTCCGCGGACTATGGTGCGAAAAACGCGGTACTTTGTTCACATTGTCTTGCTGTTGCTTGCTTTCTTTATGTATAAAAACACACAAAAAAACCTTGGTTTTATTCTACGGTGGACCACAGAGGTAGCTAGGATCCACCAAAGCCAATCGTATATGCGTATATGCCGCGTGAGTGTCACGTGGCCGTCGGGAGGAGCGCTGCGACACGCGCCGCGTTGTGACGTCACATTTTTACATCGCTTGATTGGCTGGGATAGCTCGTAGCGTCCCCTGCGGTCTATCGAAGTTGAAACGTTGTACAGTTCGTCTGACATTGCCGGAGCTGAAGCGGTCAAACTGCGCCCCCATGCTTTGTTTGTTTGTTTGTTTGTCTTTTTGCGTCGCGCATCGCGTATTTTTTTTTTTCTCGCGTGGACGTTTCGTCCGGGTGTCCTCAGCTGCCCGTTTATGGTCGGGGTCGCTTTTGTTTTCGGATCGGGGACCGAAAACAGCTTGTTCCCTAACATTCCGAGAGAAGCCCGTTTTCCCGGCAGTTTTGCGGTTACAGATTTCCACCCCCCCCCCCCCCCCCCCCCTCCCCCGGAGCATGTATTGCGGGCTCCTCACATAACAGGGCGCGCGCAACGACTTGGCGAGAGGACGCGGGGGAGGACGGCCGAAAACGCCGGAGGCCCTCGAGTCCGTCCATTGCGGGGAACTCAACTTTTATGGCCCTGTCCCCAGAAGGCGCGAAGGGTCGAGGAGACTCGGGAGGCAGATAGTGACCGCGAAATTTGTGTCCCCACGAAAGCCATCGCCCCTATTTGCCATATTTGCTCGAAAATTGGTCGACCTTTTTTTACGAACACAGCCCTAGGGGTAGACGTCTGCGCGGGTATTGACCTGCAGCCCATACGTGCGTCGAGACCGGAAGTGCGCGTATGGGCGAAAACATTGTTTTGCCGTCGCCACGCCGATAGAAGGCATTTAGGACATAAACGTAACCGTCACACCATTCTCGTTTTTCCTCCCCTCTATTTTTTTACTATTTGCAGGTTGAAACGTTTTGATATTTTTTCGTCGCCCATACCGGATATGCCTACTTGGCGGCGGCAAACGGGCGCTAATGTTTCGTGTAGGAGGCAAACGAGCAACGTCTGCCTGAAGGCAGACGTTGCTATTCCGCGTGCTCTCGTCTTATTCGCCGTTGCTAATCCTGAAGCTAATATTAGGGAGTTTTCGTAGATAGTTTTTGCCGTCCCGCAATGCCCTCCACAACCCGCTACGATGCCGGCAACTGTACAGCCAAGGCCATCGGTGCGCAGGCGCAGTAGCGGCTTCTTCGCTGCGGAGTGCTTAGCGGACGGGGAAGCGCAGTCTACGAAAACTCCCAAAACTAAAGCCGGCTGGGAACTGTCGCAATTCGCCGGTATACTTGTTTGTTCAAGTTGTAGCCTGGAATATTGTAAAAAAAAAAAGTACGCAAACACGTCTTCGTGCTCGAGTACGCCCGAAACGCCGGCCCTTGTTCGCAGTTGGGTTTAAAGGCTGCTACATTTATTTGGTTGCATATAAAAGTTAATTCGATCGTGGACTGTCATAGGACAATTGCAGACGATGCGTTTCTAGATTACATTCAGAGAGATGTGAAACGATCTTTTTACTTTTACTTAATATTGGCGGTAACCAATCGACGTTCCTACCTGCTACTCGATACCCCGTTAGTCGTCCAAGAGGGGACCATTCATTGATCATAGTCGGAATACCGGCTGCACCCGAAAACGTTTTACGTGCCGGAGAAATGGTTTTCTTACTAGCTCCGATAGTTTTTAGATATTATTTATGATTCCTATATAGTATTATTTATTAATCTGTACAGCCCGCGCCGGTGCACGTCTCAGTCGGTGACGAGCGGCGCTATTTGCTTTTTTAGCAAAGTGATTTATATGTGTACAAGTAAAGAACAGGGGGACAGGGTAAGATTCAAACCTAGGTAATTAAACAAATATGTGATATGCGTGCATGCGCGTGCGTATACGGAAGAAACCTTCCCCGCCCGAAGAAATTAAGTGCCCTATTTTTTGTGTATCTAATGAAACGAATTTTGAAGAATTGTAGAGCGTTTAATTAAGTTGTACGACCGCGCCCTTCCCCCTCTTCAAATATAGCGAGGATACCCGAATTAGGCTATCAATAGTTGCAAGTGAAGTAAACTAATTATCGGAGGTGAAAGAACTTGCGCTTACACCAGTTTATTAATTCAAATTAATGAAGACAAATAAAAAAAAAACGATCACCCATCAAAACCCATAAATGATTTTATTAAAAACGCAACTTTCTACATGTAGCTTTAAATAACTGTATGCAACATATCAACAAGTTTGATCGCAAGCGTACATTGTCTGTGCAACAAGAATACCGAAGGCATTTGACACCGCTCACGATTTTATGACGGGAATCAGGATCCATAAAGTATAACTCTTTACGAAATACAGAGTCGGTAGATTAGAACGTCCTGTTTTAATTGATATGTGCGGTGCAACAGAAAACAAGAAACGCGATAAAAAATAATATATGGTACGCCCAAAGGTCTTCAATCAATCCTTCTTCCAGAAAAAAAAAAAAGAGAAATCCACTAAGCGGCTATTTTAGGTGAAATAAGGTGTGTGATTGACGATAAATATAGAAACATATACCATTCTGAAATAGTTCTACTCGACAACGAATTGCCTTGCTATACTCCGTTTCACGATAACTTGGCGAACTGTGGAGGCTGCGGCCCCCGCGGCCCAATAAGGGCGCCGGAGCAAGGCACGTGATAACACTCCATGGTCGAGGCCACCGGGGCCTTGTTACCGCCACAGCAAGAGCCCTCCGCGACAAAAAGTAGTTCTAGGATTTTTTTTTTTTTTTAACGGCAGTTGAACTTGCGGGATTCCATCTATAATGAGAAGATATGAAGAATAAGGAATAAGCAATCACAAACTTATGAGTTTCAATTATATTATAACCAAAAAAAGTGACGCCACATCCGTATCCGATCGATTTTTTTTTCCGCCTTGTTGCGCCATGGCCGTTGGCGACCGCCGGCGATCGCAGCCGTGTAATCGGCCGTTTCCGCTGAAAACATCGCACTGTGCCCTGGCATTAGAACCCGTCGAAGATTCGCGACCAAATTGAGTGTATGGTTGTCTCATGAACTGTTCCCGAAGTGCTCGCTATTCTAGCGGACGGATATGTTGATGCGGTGGACGGTCATCCGAAGTTGGTTGGTCTCGGAGCAGACGACTCTTGGCTAGCAGACGACATCCGATCCCTCCGCGCCTCGCGCCTCGCATTTGGCGTGGAGACACAAATGCTCCCGTGACGTCGGGTCACGCGCCTCGCTCCGGCGCTCTTATTGGGTCGTGGGGCCCTAGCCTCCACAGTTCGCCAAGTTATCGTGAACCGGAGTATATGCAAAAACAAAATACAAACCCAAGGTGGTGCATGTTATAATAATAATACTTTACACTTGAATAAACAGCGATGCAGACGCTCACTTCGTATTTGCACAAAGTTGTCGCGAATGCTGACACAAACAGTGCACACCGAAATAATATTTTTTCACGAATCTCGCCATGATGAGCCCTTTCATCCCAACAAAGCGCACCTTCCTCAAGCGCTCAACGGCGCGGAAGGAGTCGAAGGGAAACAAACAAAAAGACGAAAAATTTCTTCACTTGGCGACGCGACGGCTGGAGACGGCAGCGACCGTGGCAGAGTTGTGAATTCCGCGCAACCCACGCGCAACGCGAGCGCAACCGACGCGACTATGGTGAGGGCAAGACCTACTTCTGAGTGAGTGAGGTTGGTGAGTGAGTGACTTCATGAGTTCGATCAGGGGCGTGAGTTTGTGAGTTCGCCGAGTTCGTTGAGGGGCGTGAGTTCATGAGTTCGGTGAGGGGCGTGAGTTCGTTGAGTTCATGAGTTCGTGAGTGAGGACTTGAAGGTGAGTGCGACCGTGAGGGTGAGTGAGTTTTTAACTTTTTTTTTTTTTTGAGCTAGCTGCGAGTGAGTGAGTTCAACCAAAAAGGCCGACCTCTGGTGTCGAGTGCCGCGCTGAAAGCGCGCTTCTTCCGGCAGTGCAAGCACGGGTCCCCGGCGGGCCAGAGCGGCTACCGGCCCCCCGTCTGCGAGCACCGGCTGACGCTGTACATCCTGCCCAGCCTGCTCCAAGTGGCAGCTTTCCTGTACGGCTTTTACATGTTCCGCATCATCGGAGTGGACGAGGAGCTCTACGCCATCATGGAGAGGGCAAGTAGAGCCACCGGCCTCACCAGCCACCACTGCTCCTCATACATCATGCTTGCTGCAGACAGTATGGCATCTGGGGCCTCAAGGATGTGTTCGAAGCATGTTTTCTTGCTTTGAACACGTCTAAAGACGACTTGTGTATGACCAATGGGATACCAGGAAGAAGCACGGCCGAGACACTGTCTGCAAACTGTGTGATGTATTAGCAGCTTTTTCTTACGCGAGATTCAACCCCACGCTGCGGTAAAAGAGTGTTACATCGAAGGCTGGTTCACACAGCCCGTTTTCTGACGTTTTCTCACGTCACCTAGACATTCGTGCATCGAATGTCGCGTTCAAGGCTATCTCCTTGAACTGGAAGGCACGCTTAATATAAAGCACCGATGTCCCGGTGATTTGTACGTCTGCTTTCGTAAGGTAACGCAACTTAAGAAAACGGGGCTGTGTGAACCAGCCGAGAAGCCTGGAGCGCAGAGAAGGTTGAATGCGAGACCAACATCTTCGAAGACGATGGTTCTGCGAGATGTATATTCATGCAGTTGACGCGGCTGCTGAAGTTAAGAGCTGGCGCTTTCTGCTGTCTTCCTCGTGCAGGCTTTGTTTCAGTGGTGCGGATGTCGTTCGCTGCTTGAGCGCGAGAGGATCGCCGCATTGCCCGTAGAAGCCAACGGGTAAACGAAAGTACGCGCACGCAGCGACTGACCGTGGCCCTCAGGGCCGATAGAGCTTTGTTACAAAAGTACTTAACTGTAGTTGAAAATACTAGCGCACGAAATTTAAGAATGACAAATATGCTTTACCTTAGAAAGTACTGGAATTACTTCGCAGTTACTTTTCTTTGAGAGCTACTCGAATTCGATCATGTTGATGAAATAACATTTTGTTTGCACCAAGATATTCGATACTTGTCCATTTCTTGTTTGACTGTAGATGATTTGCCACACGGCTTTTTAAATTAGTCACACTTGGGGCATTTGTTTCACCCACCTTTTTAGTGGTACGAGTTCCGAGTATGATATCAGTCGGTAGTTTTATTATTTTGCGGAACCACTAAAGATTGCTGGCGTTCTTTTTGCAGTTCAAGGTAAGAGAGATCCAGCGGACACCAAAAGTATCAAATGCAGGCGCAAACTTTTAATTATTCGAGAAGTGATTGAACGGCGTTGTCAGAAGATATTCAATGTAGTACACATTCCAATAAAGCCATTTTGATTCTTTCACTCCATCCTGACACTGGATGTCACTCTCGCTTTACGTGGAGCATCTGTGTCTCTCTTCGGGTGTCGTGGCTCGAAATTCAGTCAATCCAAGCATGACGCTTTTTGTTGCGTAATGGCACAGCGCGGACTTCATTTTTAGGTCTAAACAGATGTTCCGCCTCATCATTCGCTCAGCTGAATTCCTAGATCGCAGAGATTGGCTCTTTCAGTGTTTTGCGGGTAAGTAGACGCGCAGGTATTTCTTAGAATGCACGTAAAAACTACACAGGTGTAGTTTTCACGTGCAAATCGAGGCTGGCAGACCTGTGCAAGTCGGTAAACAGAGGAGTGCTCCCGCCGCCCCGATGCACCAAGAAACATTTTCGAATGGTGACGAGCCCGCAAATCATGGCTCATCGTCTCTTTTGCTCAGGAACAGCTGGGGGCCCTTTTATCCATAAATCTCCCTCCCCCCTCAACCCCCCCCCCCTCTTCCAATATGCTTGGAAGTAGTGGCTTCAACAAGTGCCCCCCCCCCCCCCTCCCCCCCGAAAAAAAATTCCTGGCTACGGGCCTGGTTCGCGGACTCTGGAAAATAGGCTAGTCATCTCAACAAGCGTTTGGCGCATGCGTGACGTCGCCATAACTTTAGTCCTCGTGATGCGGGCGACAGTGCAAGCAACGCCACGGGCCGTCCCGTGCTCTGCACGCGCAGAGCAGCAATGAGGTTGTCGCGCATGCAGAAAGACTACAGTTCCCGCGATGCATCGCGGCAGCAGCGGCTTAGCCAAACTGACTGGTGAGATCGGTCTATTGTAATTCAGATTTTGCAGTCATTGAGGCTCAAACGCCATCAAATTACAACTACAATTATTTTTAGTCAAAAATAATTAATTAAGATTACAAACGACTGAGAGCAATTACCTTACAGTTTAAATTATTATGATTCACCATCAGAAATGAGGAGAACCTCAGCACTCAGAAAACCTATATTTTCATCATTCTCGACTGCCGCATGCTTGTGAAAGTAAACCGCACCTGGAGTAAGTCTGTTAAATCAGTGGCAGCAGAGAGGCGTGAGGTTGTACATTTACAAAAAATTTCAAGCGTTTTTTTAAGCTTTTGTTTGCGTCAGTTGAGCATGCTAAATGCGCCTCCAAAGCAGTCCTGTTTGCGAAGATACGCAGGACACGTCGTCCAGTCGTCGATTTATAATTACCTTACACGGGCCTCGCCCCATCAAACTTACTTGTTACATGACGCTTCTCCGACTGATTTTCCTTAACCATCACATTACAGGTGTTCCTGCAGTCGTCTGCCTATTTTACAGAACGGATCATCATCACTGTAACCAGGTATTTCCCTTTTCAGCAGTCATGGGGGTCGCCTCAAACAGGAGGACTAAGCAAATATTAAATGAAAAAAAAAAAAAAAAAGAAGACGGAAACAGAATTTACATAATTGCGGGGGCCGTTCAAGTTCTCGAAAATTTCCCTAAAGCCACAGGTACAACATATTGCTAACATAACACGGGGAACCTGTCATTTAAAGTCACAGTTTAAGAAAAAAGTGTAAACTAGAGAGATTTTGGAACCTACTATAATCATGAAGTCGACAAAAAAATTTTGAAAATGTAATGGACAAACTAATAACAGTTATGATTGAAACTAAGCTACAGTGCAAGCGAGCTGGTTCAATACTGACATGGTAACATAGGAGCGCAGGAAAAACGAAAAAAAAAGAAAGAAAAAAGAAATCGTGTTGACCGTCCCGTTTTTCCCCCGCTCTTGGGTTACCATGTGAATAACAGTTATGGCTGACAGCCTTTCTCTTCTTATGTGTTGTGGCCTAAAAGGTGATTTTGATCCGAATGATAAATTTCCATCTTGGCGATGTATAGTGTATTCTTAAATCGTTAAAAATAAAAATAAATACAGCCGAGCTGCTAAACTTTCATCATCATCATCATCATCATCCTCAGACTAGCTACACCTTCGGTAAAACTGCTAGCTTATACGACCTTGGTCAGATCTAAACTTGAATTTGCTTCATCCATATGGTCACCATGGCAATCATATCTAACTAACAACCTTGAATCCGTTCAAAACAGAGGTCTTCGTTTTATTTACTCTGACTACTCCCCATACACTAGCATATCAGGATTACGCAAATCAGCTAACCTTGACTTACTTTCTTTACGTCGAAGGGTGTCACGTCTCACTCTTCTTCACAAAATCTTTTACCACAACAACCATCTAAAAGATTCTCTACTATCACCTCCCTACCGTATTTTTCCTCGTTTTGACCACTCATGTAAACTGCGCTCAATTACTTCGTCATCTGTCTTATAAAATGTCAACTTTACCATCTGCTATTGACGATTGGAACTCATTACCTGACCTCATTGTAAACATGACAGACACTAACAAGTTTGCTGCAGCCGTTAACCTCTTTCTTTCTGAAATACAAGTATAGGTTACAGCGTGCTTTTTATTAACTATTTTTGTTGATGTTTTTATTGTGTTCACTCCCTTGTATAATGCCCCCTGGGGCCCTCAAGGAAAATAAATGATGATGATGATGATGATCTTGGAAACCTTATTTGTTCCTCAAGGCTCAATATCGGGTTTCCAAGATGTTGAAACCTAGTTTGACCACGTCTCCCGTAGTCACTTCTCTGCCACGTGGGATAAGACCGAGATCGAGGCAAGAGATTGCACGTGGCATCCTATCTGCAAGAAACTGAGGTTCAACACCTCGGTAGGGTCAACACCTCGGGCATAACCGTCGCTGATGGCCGACGCGCGTCAACGGGTCGGATCCAACAGCACGCCGCGACGCCCCTTTCGTAGATTAATGGCTGGTTCACACTAGGGTGCCTCAATGTCCTTCTGCTTAGAGCGATGCCACCCTTTGTAGTCCCCTATGCCGACAGCACGCGCTGACGGGGAAAATACAAAGAAACCGACGAAAACAAAATGTCGCCATCACAGTCAGCCACAAACGCGTGCAGGGACACGCTCTTTCACGCGCTTCTGAACAAAAAAGAAAAATGAACCTGTGGAACAAAATGGCTAGATGCCACCAACCTAAGCAAAGCGCACACGGCCCTAAGCAAAGCGCACACTCACGCAGAGTGTTTGAACCTGCCTCGAGGGCGATTCACACATTTGCGTGGACCGCGTTGCACTGCCTTGCGTCGTGCAGCACAGCGCCTCCCCATTGGCTCGTCCTAAGTGTCGCCATAGCAACAGCTCGAAGCAAACAGTCTTAACCAGACGCAAGTGGTTGCAGTCGCACTCGAACGCAACCGCTTGCACACACTTGCGTCGAGTCCGACCGAGTGCAACTGCAACGCGGTTTGCGACACACGGGTTGCTATGGCGACCCTTACGACAAGCCAATGGGGAGGCGCGGTGCCGCACGACGCAACGCAGCTCGACGCGGTCGACGGAAATGTGTGAACCAGCCTTTACTCTGATGTGTGCTCGTGCTGAAAGCTTCGCATCCTTCTGCTGCTGTTGCTCATATTGTCACGAATGAAGGTGACGAAAAGCCGAACAGTGAACTGAAAATAAAAATTTAATGGGCGAACTTGTGCCAAACAAAAAGAAGTAACGGAAGAGCGTCGAGGCAGCAGAAAAGCGGGCGGCGATTCGGCGGCACTACAGAGCGCTAGCGAGACTGAGACTGACTCGACAAGGTCGCGGACAGCTGCTTATCTACCGTGCGTCACTATCTCGAAAGTTCGGCAAAGAAGGTTCGAGCGTCGCGCGCTCGGGGCGAGGATGAACTGGCACTTTCGAGAATAACAAAGCAGAGGGAAAGTTACGTCTGCTGCGAGGATGACCGGGAATCTTCTAGAAGACCGTGACCAAGCGTTGCCTTCTCGGCTCTGCGGGCGGCATTATCCCCCCCTTTAAAAGTGCATCGCCCCGATGCAAAACGAAAGGAAAACGGAAATGGCTAAAACAATTGCGGCGAAACAAAACAAACATGCAGTGTCACAATCCTAACGCGCGTAGAACGGCTTGAGTCGAACTACGTGGACGACCTCGGATCGTGGCTGGCGTCCTGATGGGCGAGTTCCGTCGGGGAGCACCTCGTAGTTCAAGTCCCCAAGGCGGCGAATAACCTTGTAGGGTCCAAAGCAGCGTTTTAACAGTTTCTCACTAAGGCCGCGGTGACGAATGGGTATCCACACCCACACCCTGTCTCCGGGCTGGAACTCCCCGTCTCGGCAACGAAAGTTGTACCGGCCAGCTTTGACACGTTGCCGGTCTTTTATGCGAAGGCGGGCTAGCTGGCGTACTTCTGCTCGTTGGGTGACCAACTAGCATCGTCGGTGCCATCATTTGTCGGTGCTGTCGTTCGTCGGTGCTGTCGTTCGTCGGTGCTGTCGTTCGTCGGTGCTGTCGTTCGTCGGTGCTGTCGTTCGTCGGTGCTGTCGTTCGTCGGTGCCGTAGTTCGTCGGTGCCGTAGTTCGTCGGTGCCGTCGTTCGTCGGTGCCGTCGTTCGTCGGTGCCGTAGTTCGTCGGTGCCGTCGTTCGTCGGTGCCGTCGTTCGTCGGGTCGTGAGGCATCACGGCGTCGAGCATCGTCGTCACCTTTCAGCCGTGCACCAACTGAAAAGGTGTAATCCCAGTGGTTCCTTGAACCGCCGTGTTGTACGCAAACGTGATGTAGGGCACCACCTCATCCCACGTCTTGTGTTCCACGTCCACATACATCGAGATCATGTCGGCGATGGTCTTGTTTAGTCTCTCCGTCAGCCCGTCAATCTGCAGGTGGTATGCCGTGGTCCGGCGGTGGTCGAGGTCTGCGTCGTCTGGGGGTCCATCGTTGACCTCGTTGGTTGCTTGATCTTGGTTGGCAGAAATCCGAGTTCCGGGTTAGCTCTTGGTGGCGGCGACTTTATCGGGTCTTGCTTGTGTCTTCGTTGGGTCTTCGTGGGCTTGGTGTTGGACTTGCACTGCGGGCCCTCGGAGGAGTATGGTGCAGGGACATGCGTTACCCCGCACCTCCACCAGAAATGTCACGAATGAAGGTGACGAAAAGCCGAACAGTGAACTGAAAATAAAAATTTAATGGGCGAACTTGTGCCAAACAAAAAGAAGTAACGGAAGAGCGTCGAGGCAGCAGAAAAGCGGGCGGCGATTCGGCGGCACTACAGAGCGCTAGCGAGACTGAGACTGACTCGACAAGGTCGCGGACAGCTGCTTATCTACCGTGCGTCACTATCTCGAAAGTTCGGCAAAGAAGGTTCGAGCGTCGCGCGCTCGGGGCGAGGATGAACTGGCACTTTCGAGAATAACAAAGCAGAGGGAAAGTTACGTCTGCTGCGAGGATGACCGGGAATCTTCTAGAAGACCGTGACCAAGCGTTGCCTTCTCGGCTCTGCGGGCGGCAATATCCCCTTTGGTTCACACACGCGAGCATTCACGCTTTTATAGAAAGTTTTCGTAGATCGCGTTTCCCCCTCCTCTAAGCCCTCCGCAACGAAGCCGTCGCTAGTGCGCCTGCGCGCCGATGGCCTTGACTGTAGAGTTCCGGGTATCGTTGCGGGTTGCGGAGAGCGTAGCGGGACGGCGAAAACTATCGACGAAAACTCCCTAATGTTGCCCCTCGCGTGTGGAGCGTAGAATATGGTGGAGTTTTTTTGTTTCAGAGGCAACACGCGGCTAGCGCATGCACGGTCTGTCTGCGCAGGAGGTTTCTGGCCGCTGCCATTCTCTGGACTTTTATGCAAATTGCGGTACAGGCACTGTACAACGCGGCCCTCGAGACCGAAGCGCAGCTTCTGCATCGAGCATTCAACGATCTGTCCGAGTAAGTGGCTCTTTATGACACCTAAAGAAGTTAAAACAAACGACATATCGCTGAAAACTATATATCCACAAAAAATACTGCGCCGTGGGAGTAACACCGCAAACGTCTACACTGTGCTTAGAGAAATGTTGAACTCGTGCGGCATCGGGGATTTTGAGGGCGCTTGCTGTAGAAGTTGATCTCCATGTGCAAGGGTTCGAGCGATAAAAGCGTCTCGCCTAGCTGCTCTTCGCGTCATTGTCTTTGTCCTTGGATAGCGTTATACGCAACTTGTGAGATAGTTTAACAGAGAGAGTGAAAAAAAAAAAGTCGGAAGACACCTAAGCATTTCTTATGACTTGTGAATGAGAAAGCATGAATGTCCAATGGAACGCCGTGGAGTGATCCGCGGAGTTTTGTGGCGCGAGTAATGTTTTCGTGTTGTGGCAGAAGCACCGGCGACGATGTGAATGATGGAGGCGACGGCATGTTGGTCGGCGGCGAGACGAGCAGAAGCCTCTGAGCGCGCGCCAATGTGTCCGTTTTAACCGGCGCGGGGCCCATGGTGGCATGGGCAGCATGGGGTTGCGGCGGTTAGTTTTATCGGCGCGCTGGCGGCACGGACACGCAGTGCCATCTGGCGGCGGTCGTTGAAACTGGCGCGCGCAGCGGCCAATGGGAGCCTCGTCGCCGCGCGTCAGCTAATGGGACCTTTGGGATCAGGGAAACTAGGTGCCGTTTTCGCGCTTCAAACTGATGACGTCGGCTCACTCCATGGGACAGTTAATGCTTTCGCATTAAAAACTTTATTGACTGAGGAAATGGGTCAAGTGGTATAGAGGGCCTGGTAGTGGTGGTGGTCGAGGGGCCGAAGGCGCTTCCCCTCCTGGACGTCTTTTTCTTGATTTAGGTTGGTGGTCCCGTGGTGGCCAGGGATTGAAATTATGGTTTTTTTTTTTTTTTGGGGGGGGGGGGGGGGGCATTGAGAATAGAGGAGTCGTTGCGAATTAAGGGGATGCCTTCAGAAAAACAAGGGGGGGGGGGGGGGCGGGTGTAGAGAAATCACTGGTGGTGGCCGTCGGCTGTTGCCTTCCGGCAACCTCTTCCGCCCTTTTGACCAGGCGGGCCTGTAGGTCCGGGTCGGGGCTGCGAAGCGAGGCCTCCCACCTCTTCTCAGAAGGATTTTCGGGGAAGGGATCCTTGGGGCATGCTCAGACAGGTGATATGGATCCGGTTGGCATGGGTGCCACATAAGGAGCACGCCGAGGTTGGATAAAGGCTGGGGTGGATATGGGTCATGGTGGCCAGGTTGGGGAAAACTCCCCTCGGGAGCTGGCGCCAGACGTGGGGTTGTCTAAGCTATAAGGGATTTGTCCGCCTGCGGATAGATCCGGCGGGAGAGGAGGTAATAGGCGGTGACGTCATGATATCCGATCAGACGGTCTTGCGCGGACCGGGCTCCGTGGTAGGGGCTTGGCCCAGCCCGGATAGAAAGTGATCGGGCGAGGTCGCGAGCCGCCTCGTTTCCGTCGAGCCCAGAATGCGCGGGTGTCCAGAGGAGTTGGACTTGGGATTGCGGGAGGTTTCTGCGCAAATTTCGAGTGCCGTTGCGGATACGCGCCTCGCGACAAAAGTTTGTAAAAAAAAAGTTCGTGAAGGAAAGCTGCCAAGCACGCCAAGCGGAGTTGAAGGAACTCGCGCGACCCGCGAGAAGTGCAATGCGCGCATGTGCTTACGTGACATAGTGTTTGCGCGATGTACCAGGGCACTGCTGACACGATGACTGGCGATACCGGCGATAAGCAGCATTCTGGCAAAAAACCCAGTGACAGCGGTGCCATGGAGCGATCGCGCGAAGAACTCGCGAAGATGGTGTTTTCCGTAGGCATACGCGAATCGACGAGCCTCTAGAGCAGTCGTAAACCAGAGAAGAAGCCGCTACAGTTGCGCAACAGCGGCTTTGTGACGTGTATCAGAGCACGACAATCAGAGTGCCGAAACTGGCCCCATGGACTTGCTCCACAGGCTTTCCCGAATACGCCAGGACTTCTGTTGCCTTGCTTTCATTCCTTGTTGAAACCCGAGTGATACGTGCCGCGCCTTTTTGTGCACAGTAAAGGCTCGTTCGCACAGTCGCGTCAACTGCTCTGCGCTGCGTTGAGTTGTGCTGCACAGCGCTTCCCCATTGGTGCGTCGCAAGTGTCGCTATAGCAACAGCTAAACGTAAGCAGTTTTGACAAGGCGAAACAGGGTTTTGCCCGCCCCGTTTTGTTGAAGCCGGCGCAGCTGTTTCCGTAGCAACCCCTACGTCGAAAGCCTTTGCAGTCGCCCTCGGTCGGACTCGACGCCGCGTGTGATACCCTACATCTTCGTACCGCCATCGCACGCAACGTCAGTGCTTGGAGGCATTGACAAAATAATTTTATTGTCTTGAAACACGCAAGAACAGTAACATAATTGTAAGAGATCTGGGGAAACAAGCATGAGTGATCAGTTTATTGCATGCGCAGTGCCAAAGACGCTCAGATTGGCCGAGGAACGCTTTCAGTACGAGGATGCTCCATAGCGATCTTGGTGCGACTAGTTTTAACGACCCTTTCGAAGCTTCGAAAGTCTGAGAGGGTCCGAAATTGCGATCACCATGGCACCCGACAGCGATGAGCTAATCACCTCGAGAGTTTTTGTACTCTGTATGTTGGTACTTCTGTCCGGCTAGCAGGTAGGAAGGCAATGGCGTTACTTTCCCAGATCCAGTGACTTTCGTTGAGACACGCGTGTCAAAAAATAAATTTTAAGCGACAAAAGGAAAAAAAAAATTAGATTAATATTGACGGCGCGAGACGGGATTTAGTCGGTAGTCACCTCCTTTTTACTTGTTTTCTCCCTTGGCATTTCGGGCACGTGGAGGAGAGGTGGATCGGCTTGGCCATCACGTTGAGGTCGAGAGAGCGTATGACCATCTTGTTGAGGCGTAAAGAGTGTATGACCATTCCGTGACGTCAGGGACTTTGCGCGCAGAATTTATAATGAATCTCGCGCCGTCAGTATCGCGCTAAAAACAAAAACAAAATTTTTCGTTTCGCGTAGAATTAATTTTTCGACATGCGTGTCCCAGCCAGACTGTTAAAGGTGTACTCCACCGATTTTTTGAGCTACCTCAACTAACTATATTTTCTGACTCCCCGGCCTTTACTCTCTCCGGTATGCTATTCAGAATCGCGAAATTCATAATAGTTATTGCGAAATCGGCAAATGAAAATGATGCAAAAACCAACATTCAAATATACGCGCGCTTTTCAGGGCCGTGACGTCAGTGGCAGGCAGGCTTGCCAGTCGAGCAAGCAGCCAAAAAATAGAACATGCCGATCATTTGCTCCGTGCTGGAGCGCGGGTACTGCAGCGAGCTTCCCAAGCATTCATTTGACACCATGAAACTGCTTCGAATCAGTTTAAAACAAAATCTACAGCCCAAAGAGTGAACCCCTGCCTTCCACTGACGTCACTTTTTCACTGTTGCCAGTAGAGACTTCGAGCTTGAAAAACACGGTGAGGACCAAAACTGTAAATTCAATAACTTCGCGAAAAAACAATATTTTGACCTAATATTTGGGATACTATTTTCGCCATGTTTGTTGGTTAGTTTTGCAAAATTTCAAGCAAATCGGAGACAATGAAAAAATCGGTGGAGTAGCCCTTTAAGGCCGGTTCTCACATGCAGCGAAGCGCTGATGTAGCGCTCCTCACGTGTCGTCAGCTACTTATCGTCTGTCATGAGCAACAGTTTTGACGGTGCGATACAAAGCTGGTGAACGCTGCCGTCAACACGCGCTAAGCGCGAGGTTAGCGCTATGCTTGTAGCGCTCCGCTGCATGTGTGAACAGGCCTTTAAAAAGAAACTTGTTCTTTTCAGTGGCCCTTTAAACCTAGCTTGGTATCAACAGACTCTGACTCTCTGTGAATAACCTTGAAGCAGTTTTGCTCTTGTCCGTTCGTCGCGTTGGCGCAGGTGGAACACACTCCTACTGGTCGGCCTTCGGATGCTTGGTCAGCTGGTGATGACCGTCGTCGAAATGGCGGTTCTGCTCAACTACTGCACCCAGTGCGAAATGATCATCATCTACCTTCGGGGTGTGGCGCTGCGCCTCCGGGAAAAGCGCATCACCCTCAGGGAGGGCATGCACGTACTGCACCCTTCACTCTCCTTCGCGCGGTGCTGTCATCTGTACAACAGGGAGTTTTAAAACAGGGGGCCCGAACGCTTTTGGGTCCCCCAAGCAGCCAAGCAGCTCGGGCCTTCGCACTGCACATGCGCCTAACTTCTACGCTTGCGCAGTGCAACGCCCCAAGTTGAGCCATAGCGTTAGGGGCCTCCTATTATAGAACTCTGTGTCCCACCTCTTTACACAGAGCGAAGGCTTGAGAGGAGGCGACCTACTCTCCAGCATCTACTCTGCTAAAGTAGAAAGAGGCGGGAGGAGCTTCCCCCGAACTCTTAACCTATCACAGACAATAGTATCACATGACAGGGTAGTGTCCAGTAGATTGAAGCGACCAGAATAAACAGGAACAGAAAGCGAAAATGATTGCGTCCATGTAGCATGTACGGCTGCCTAGCGATCTACCGAACTCCTTAATTAGTGTCTACAAGTCACATTAGGGAGTTTCATGACAGCGTGCAAACCAGACTCAAGGGCGATTCACACACCTGCGAGCAAAACCGGTTTTTACCCCGTTTTGTTGGAGCCGACGGAGCTGTTGCCATAGCAACCCTCGCTTCCGGTCAGACTGAACGCAAGTCTATGAAACCATGAATTTAGAAACGTGAAGGAGCCGGTAGAAAACCGGTCGACTTGAACGAACTTGAACTCGACAGTTAAATTTCTACTCAACTCAGGTTTGATGTTTGGTCTATCACGTTTCATTTCATTTCATTTATTTTTCCCTCAGGGCCCGAGGGCATTACAGAGGGGAGTGGGTTACATAATATAAAGTAAATCTAAGATATGCACATGAAACAGAACAAGAAAAATAACAATAGGTTAGTCAAATTCTGGAATATAAGTATTGGCAATACAGTTTTTAAACGCCACACCATCGGAAATCGATACCGCAGAGGCTGGAAGGTGGTTCCAGTCAAGAGTGGTGCGAGGTATGAACGAACTATGAAAAGATGTAGTTTTACACGAGGGTACGTCCATTTTATGTTGATGATCGAGACGTGACGAGATGTAAGGTGCAGGCGTTAGTAACCTTTCACGTAGGAAAGGGTTATGATGGTATAGCTTGTGATACAGGCATAAGCGAAAAATTTTTCTGCGCAAAGCAAGCGTTGGCAGTTTTAGGCCCAATTTCATTGATGTTACGCTAGCGATGCGGTGATAATTAGTGAGGATGTAGCGAGCAGAACGGTTTTGGACCGCTTCAACTGCAAGGGTTAGTACGTCAGTACCGGGGTCCCAGATGGAGGAGGCATAATCCAGTTTTGAGCGAACGAGTGTTTTGTAGAGAAGTAATTTTAGCGACACAGGAACTGTTGAAAAATTCCGTTTTAGGAATCCGAGCATGCGGTTAGCATTATTTGTTATGTATTGGATATGAGAATCCCAAGAGAGAGTGGATGAGATATGAACGCCTAAATATTTATAACATGAAACGTGCTCTAAAGAAACATTGTTAAAAAAGTAGCGAGGAGTGTCATTTTGGACACGGGAAATTCTCATTACTTTGCATTTGTTAACGTTAAGCTGCATATTCCACATGTTACACCATTCTAACACACTGTTAATGTCTGACTGAAGAGAAATGACATCTAAATTATTAGTTACTTCACGGTATATTACACAGTCGTCGGCGAATAAGCTGATTGAGGACGAGACACTGGCGGGTAGGTCATTTATAAATATAAGAAAAAGCAGAGGTCCCAACACAGAACCTTGGGGAACCCCGGATGTTACAGAAGATAAAGACGATGAAGTGTCATTTACAAAAACAAATTGGGACCGGTTAGTTAAAAAGGGATGAATCCAGGAAAGTACGTTAGCGTCGATATTAAGTTTGCTTAATTTGTGAAGTAGAAGCCTATGTGAAACCTTATCAAAGGCTTTCGAAAAGTCCAGGAAAATACAGTCGGCCTTCGAACTACGATCAAGAATGCGATGAAGATCATGTGTGAAAGTTAGTAACTGTGTTTCACATGAAAAGGACTTACGAACCCCGTGTTGCGCGGGAGAAAAGAAGTTGTTCGATTCTAAAAAATTTACAAGATGTGAGAAGATTATATGTTCTAAAATTTTGCATGAAATACTTGTTAGAGATATCGGACGATAATTGAGAGGAATATGCTTATCACCAGTCTTATGCACAGGCACAACCTTTCCCACCTTCCAGTCGCCGGGTAGAACACCAACACTAAGAGATTGCTCGAAGAGTTTAAATAGTATAATGGACGAATATTCCTTGGTGTTTTTTAGGAACTTCGAGTTTATATCATCAATTCCTGCAGAACAAGACATTTTTAGATTATCGACTAGGTGAATAATGCCGGCAACGTCGAATATAATCGGAAGCATGGGTGAAAAATCATTTTGCAAAAGCAGTGGCACAGTCGATGAATGATCATGGGAAAATGAGGCGACAAATGTAGAATTTAAAATAGACGCACAGTCACTAAGCGACACTGGTTCACCAACGTCGCTAAAAAAAGATACCGAGGGTTTTTCATTGCAATTGACCACATTCCAGAACTGCCTAGGGTTATTAGTAAGCATGGATGGCAGAGTTACAGAAAAGAAATGAGCCTTCGCGTTCTGAACTGCCATTTTGTAGATATTAGAAGCATTGTAATAATCGGACCATTTAATGTCATTATTTGAAAACTTAGCGGTTCTAAACTTCCTCTTTTTCTTGTTAGAAAGCCTTTTTAGCGCAACGTTAAACCAAGGCGCTTTTGAAGATACGGAGAGATTCCGTAACGGTATGAACTTGTTAGTGAGACGCACTACTTCCGATTTAAATAATTGCCAGTTTTCGTCAACAGAACGCTCAGAAAAGCGCAATAAGAAAGAATCAAGAAACACACAAAGTTCATTATTGATAGCCGCGTAGTCACCTTTACCATAGTCACGTATTCGCTTGAGACTCGTAGGCGAGCTTCCAGCAGGAACATTAAGGAAGAAATGTATTATAGAATGATCACTGAGACCCTCCATGTTGCTAATGGAAGAAATTAAAGTTGATGGAAGAAATTAGGCTCAATGCTGGAATCAGAATTAGGCGACTAAATTGTGATGAATGAAAGTTGTTTTCTTTGTTTGCTCCCCCCCCCCCCCCCCCCCCCCCATCACTCGCAGGAACTGTTGGCCAGTCACGACTTCGTCAGTCACCTGAACAGAAACCTGGGGAAGGTTGCAGCTCTCTTCATAATCAACTTTGTAATTCACGCCCTAATAGGTAACGCCTATAGCACACGCAACGTGTTACGATTCGGTACGATGAGGCTCGATCGGTATCGCTCCCGTTTTTTGCACGCTTTGTGAAATGGCGGCGTTGTGTTTTCCAGCCTGCTTTTCGCGGTTTCATATTCTACGGGAAGGTATCTAATGTTTATGTAACACTTGCGACGTTTACGTATTAGGTCCAGCCTAGAGCTTTGACTCCTAGGCGTCGTTGTTTGCACAGACATCGGAAGAGGACTACAAACACGCGAATACCTGACTTTAAAAAGTCGGGCGTTCGCTGCGTGGGCCCCCGTAGAGAGCCCCCCCCCCCCCCCCCCCCCCCTCCCCTCCCTCCCCGTACGAGGGCCCATGCAGCGGCATACCTTGTCGTTTCTGGACGTTTTTCAGGGCTGTCCTTTCTTTTCAGGTATCTTCTTATTTCTACTGAATGACAACAAAAAGGCGACCGTGTTGGCATACCGAGCGTCTTATCCAATTGCGTGGATCTTCGCGATGTTCCCGCCCCTGCTTCAGGTGGGTACACCAGTTTTTGAGAGGGTAGAGCATTGCTATTCGCACGACATCGTTGACGTTGTGCTACTGAACCGGGCGTTGCTATTCAAACGGCGCGACGATCGCGCCATCAGGCGCAGGCCTCAGCAAAGGGTATCAGAAGTGAACTTTCACTAAGTGAACACTTTGTTTTGTTGCGAAATACCCTAACAGTACCCTTACAGAGCACCCGCCCTGATCCAAGAGGGTCTTGGTTTACCTGATTTACTAGCTATACTCCGTTTCACCTTATGTTGTACCACAGCGAAAGCTGGAAGCTCGAGCTCATAGTGTTGACAGCTGCTCTTACTACGCGAGAGCTTGTGCCTCCGAGATCTGCCCCAGAGCAAGGAGCTCGCGCTTATAGCCTTTCCTTCGGTACAACAAAAGGTGAAACAGAGTATAGCACTTTCATTCGGTTCACGCGGCTGTGGCATTCGGTGTAACGTGACTGTGAAGCTTGGAGCTACTTTGAGCACGTTCGCTGACTTCGACAGAGCTTTTCGGAAGTTCCAAGTTCATAGTAATGTTCTTTTTGTTTCGAAAGCGACAAAAACTGTCGCTTTCGACAGTTCACCCCAAGAAGGAGTGGTGCGGCGTTCTGTACCTGGCCTGCTTTCGCTGTGGTCCATTGCGGGTTGAACCAAAGTATCCTGTTTCAATTGATCTAGTTTTCTTTTTGCTGTTTGTTTTGTTTCCTGGGAGAGAGAGAGAGAGTATAGCATAGCATAGCATAAGGGGAAGCAAAGAAAGTGTTTCGCAGACAAAGTTTTTTTTTCTTTTTTTCTAATGTATTCTTATTGGGTCCACACGCGTGGCGTCGTGGTCTCACTTGGCCTTAATTTACTGTACCCTTGGCGGCTGCTTATATTGCGTTTAACAGCATTCTGGAGCCATCCAGGTAACCAACCAAAAAGGGTTTTCTTAGCACCAATCAAAAGGCTCGGAGCCCAAAGCAAGCATGAGCATGCCAAAACAAGCGCATACGCAAGACAAGACACATTTCAAACAAACTTTACAAGATCAGTTAAAACAAGACAAAGAACGTACGAAGGCACGATCACTAGACCAGGCGCTTACACAAAACGTCAGTAACCAAAAGGAAGTGCGTAAGTAGATCTACAGCAATACAAATCCATATAGCACCAAAGACAAACCCCACTCAACACGTGGAAACCATTTCGAAATTCCCTGAACCTGGCTCTTTTCGGTTAGCCGCTGCCGACGACCAGAGTTTCAGGCAGAACGGTTCGTGTACCAGGGGGCCGTAAACACGTCAAAGAAAGACACGGACCGTGTCACTTGACACTCCGAGCGGGGGTCTTCGTGAACCACTCCGAGGGAGAGACTTCACCCGTCTCGCGGCGGCGACCAGCGGCCGACTACACTGGGGCACCCGGGGAGGGGCCCCCCAAACAAAGTAAAACTAATACAACAAAGCCGCGAAGGCATAACTTCGCGACAGCCGAATCACACTTCGATGAGCCCTCGTTTTCGCTGCCGAAGCACTTCTGACCCGCTTAGTTCCGGCTTTTAGCGACCGCGAAGCGGATCCGCTGGTTTTCATCATGAACTGCGCGTACATTTAAAATGGATCTGTAGCCGTGTTCCCAACCGCTTAGCGGATGCGATTCAACTGCCAGTGTGAATGAGGTATTTGAAGGTAAAATCTGTATCGGGGTTGCGGTGATTGGGAAGGCGGAAGCTAAGTCCGCGGTCCGTGAGATAAGTTGCTGTATCGTCGCGTCCGAGCGATTCGTGATCGAGTGCAATTAGTTGACGAAGTCTCCGCCAGATGGCGCGATCGCCTCCTCGTGCTAATAGCAACTTCCGGTCAAGTCCCACGACGTCGTGCGAATAGCGTCACTTGAGACGTAATGCGAGTGAAAAGAGCTTCTGCAACACTGTTACGAACATCCCTTACGCTCTTCGCGTATTTATACGAAATGTATTTTTTCGTTGTCTAATTCAGCCTGCATTGTATAAATTGGTGTATTCTCTGATGGTTTAAAAGTGGTCGTTCAAGATCTTACGTCGTTATTCGTTTCCATACATTACGGAATCTTGTACAAGTTACTGTAGAGAAGTAACTAATGACGGTTACAATTACTTCGCGAAAAGAAAAAGAAAGAAAGAAAATGCATTCGGTTTACGGTGATTAAAAACAGTCTCTTAACTTAAAGTAACGAAATATCACTGGAAAGTATTCACTTACATTTTAGAACGACTTTTTTAACGTTATATTGCGAATGCAACAGTATATTACGTGACGACATTGATATTATGTGAAGTAACAATAACAGAAATACATAATATTATGTTGCGGTGACAAAAATTTTAAAAAAAAACCTAGCTATTATATTGTTGAACTGAATGTGAGGGTGCAAACGAGCCGGTAAATACTAAGCACGATTAAAAAAAAAAATCGATAGTTGAGACTTGGTGTATCTGTCGTTTTTACTCCCAGTCTAGAAGTTTTTGTCCTGCTTATTACTATTCTATTGTTATCAATCTTCTGATTTTTATCTTCGCTTAAACTTTTAGATTAATTGTTCCCGTCAGTTATCTCGAAGCGTCGTTTTCGAAATACGTCTACTGCGACGCTGCCCCTCTTGGCTGCCCCACCTGAGAGGAGTGTAGTCTTAACAAACCTTTTTCATATAAAGAGGACACCACGTGGCTAAAGCTTCAACTACGGTTGATGGATGAAATGGGAACCGTGATACCTTTCCTGCCTTCTCTGCAGCTTATCCGAGTCGCGGAACAGGCAGGAGGGGTAGTGCAACCATTCTTCCGGACGCCAACCGAAGTTACAGCTTTCGCCGCTGCGAGAAGGCGTACGCATGTCCAGAAGCAGAACCCTTCTTGAAGAAGGTCAATTATGCGGCACGAATACTTTGCGCTTCACATCGTGTTCGCGCAAGTCGCAACGAGCTCATTGTGACAGTCTCGGAGTCCTCTGTGAGGCTATGCACCGCGAGCAGCAAGAAATGGAAGTCGTTTGTGCAGCCATAAAACACTACCACCGGTGGTTTAGGTCGCCTCATAAGTCACTAAAGTTCGCACCGTCATCCATCGCACGATTTATCTTTTTTAAATTGTGAAATGTTAACGGTTCCCTGTTTTTAATTAAGCGTGGTTTCCACATACTTTTGATATCTAATCGTAGTTAGGGTTGAAAAAACATAATATTCTGCTGCGGTAAGAAAAAAGAAAAAAAAAAAAAAAGACGCGAAAAAATATTTAACTTAGATAATTGAGATACCAATCTCTTACCGGTTGTGGATGCCGCTCTGAACTGCGTTCGCTGGCCTTGCACAGTACGGCAGGCCCACAATGCGAATCTTCAATGTACGTACTTAGTTGAACCGAGCCGATGGCTCAGTTCAACTAAGCACTTTTTGCCCTTACCTCACAAAGTCCTCACTTTTTGCTCTTGAACTGAGCCGATGGCTCAGTTCAACAGCAAGAAAGTAAGGACAAAGGGAAACTGCGGGGCTGCGAGACACAATCATTGCAATTTGAGAAGGTTTTAGTGGCAGCGTTGTTGAAAACCTGCCTTTCGCCCCATTTTCAAGAACAGTAAATGTTTTCAAGATTCCTGGTTTCTGTCGCGACAAAACTGCCCCGTTCGGCATGTCATGGTCCAGAGGCTTGCTTCGGTACGTCCAGCACAGGACACAATCCGATTCCCTTTTGGGAAGAAGTGAATGGATGACGTCAGTGCCGCCGTCTGCTGTATCTTCCTGAACCCAGAGCTTGTGGCCAACGCAGTCCGCGCAGTAAAAATTGGCTGCAGGAGCCACAATTGTTGATTGCCTATGAATTGCGACAGCAATCGTCTAGGACATCCTCAAGGACAACGTCTAAGACGACCTCGAGGACCATGTCCTAGAGGACGACATCAAACACGACGTCTAGGACGACCTCTAGCGCTATCTCTAGGACTACGTCGAGGACGACGTCTAGAACGACCTCTAGCGCTATCTCTAGGACTACGTCGAGGACGACGTCTAGAACGACCTCTAGCGCGATCTTTAGGACGACGTCGAGGATGACGTCCTAGAGGACGATGTCTAGGACGACCTCTAGGAGGACTTCTAGGGCGATGTCTAGGACGACCTCTAAGACGACGTCCTAGAAGATGATGTCCAGGACGACCTCTAGGACGACGTCAAGGTCGTGAGGTCCTTCGAAGAGGGTGCGAATGTGAATGGGTGCGAGAATGTGAGCTGAAAATGGTCTGGTCTACTGCGCGTACCTGCTACACATTAGGAGGCCAGAAAGTTAAAGAAATCCGGGGGGGGGGGGGGGAGATCTAAAGAATGATATCGCATTAAAACTAAGTATAACTCAACAGCCATAGCTGCACAGTTGAGAAAGCCTCTGGTGGAGCAAACTTTCCTTTTAGTGCACCTCAACCTTTAAAAAAATAATTAAATTATGAGATCATTAAAAAATAATTGATTTACCAGATGTCCAAAGAAATGGAAAAGTTACAAAACTATATTAAAAAGTAATTGAATTGAATTGAAGTTTATTTGGATTTTCACGGGCCAGGCCCGGTAGGGACGTACAGAGATTAAGCATTTCTGCCCGACTGAGGCCTCTACCCCATAGTACTACGGGGATAGATTACAAGTAATCCATTAATTGTAATTTATTACTTGTAACGCGTTGCGAGTCACTCATGTTGAGGCCTTGATGGACTAGCATGATCAGATTTGTGCTGAGCATTGACCCCTCATTTTACGCGAGCCATGCATCATTGGAGTTTTGACCAAAGGAATCCTTTGAAAGTAAATTTACAATTGTGTTTTGATATTAGCTTTAACCTAAGCTTTGAAAGATGTGCTTCGCAACAACTTCCCTTCATAAGAAGTTGTGTTAGGCTCCCGCACCAGTGATGAGCACTTGATTACTTCAGACAAGATTTCCTAGCTAGACTATGGTGGCGTCGACAGAGGCTTACGCACCGCATTCAAAGACATAGCTCTGAACCAAACCAGTATTAAACGAAAAGAGCGCTCAACCTGCCGAGGCTTCAGTTTTGAGATCACTCACAAATAAAGTATGCATGCTTTTATTAGGACGAATGAAAGAGTCCATCAGCACGTGGGCAGAATGAAACAAAGGAAGCAAGACTGCACCCGGCTTTCTTCGAATAAGTCGCTGTACGCAATCAGACACGCGTTCCACATCTTGGGGAGGTGGCGGATACCATGGGGTGGCCGCCAAAGATCGTTCGTTTCCTCGCATCCTTCCCGAAACATTCGCGCCCAGTGAGTCACTGTTGTCTTCGACACACAGTTACCACCATACACCGCCTGCATTCTGCGATGAATGACGACTGGTCGACACCCTTCGGCTTTCGCTCACTGACCCACATCGGATGGGATTTCCAGTTACACCGGCCATGTTAGCAATGGCGTCCAACGCAAACCAGACATGCGAGGAGAGTGAACGCTTGCTCGCTTGTACCGTGGTCTGCGCTCATCACGATGATTGCGACGTAATTGGGCTCGTCGTGCGCGGAACAAGCGGGTTTCGTTTGATCACGCCTTGTATCTAACCAGTCAATGACACATTTATGTTAACACGGCGTTTCGTATATCTTTGTCGCAAAAACTTGGGCATTGAGAGATCGCTGTATTCATAGACAAGCCCACTGAGACTAAGCGGCAAGATTGCGGGCTAAACAAATAACAACTTCCAGACAGTTCGTAAATTCCACGTGCGTTGTGCGGCTTAAAGCGCAAGGCACGGTACCTAGTTTCAAGAAGCACCCTCGAATGTGAAATGTATCGAACGAAGCTTAAATGTGGACAATGCGCATTCGCACGCAGGCCTCACGAGTGACGGCCATCGGGCAGAAGATCTCCAAGATCAGCATCGAAGCGAGAGTCTTCGGGTACCAGGACGCACAGGATTTCGACTTGGATTCTTTTGTCCTCTTCGTGGGAAACACCAAACTCAGAGTGAGATGTGAAACTATTTCCCAACGTGCGCTTCTCTACCCTAAACGCCCATGCTGTAGGAGAAGCAGCTGAAATAGCACTAGTTATGCCTAAAAAAAAAACAAAAAAAAACTAAAAAGACACGCAGTTATAAAATTACATTAGGCGACCCTTACTAAGAACTACATTCGACTGGAACAGCTGGCCAGCCTGTTGCCTGCAAGGAAGGTTTCTAACGTTTCTGACTTTCATAATGCGCTGTTGTAGCAAGTGTACCATTGCCTTTTGTCCGGTGAGCTTGTGTCCGGTGAGCTTTTGTCCGGCATTCTAAATAAGCTATCGGTCCTTCGCGGGAATGTACCAGGTGCTCTCCCTCGGTTTGGTATGTAGGCATCCAAATATATTTTAGTAGCGTATCTATAAGAATACAAAACTCCGATTACGGATCGGCATTAAACAAAAATTGAACAGCGAACTTGCGGTAATACTGAAAGTGTTAGAGTAAATTTTAATTTAAGTGCACCCTTATTTTACATTTAATTCAGATGTAGTAGGAAAAGCGAGACCCCAGCAAGGTGCCGCTTTTCGTCTGCAATCGTGAGTTTTTTGGGCCACATATGGTACGAATATCCCCTGTTCATGAACTTCTCTGACCGCTTCTGAATTATAACGACACTTAACTATGATGCCAGGCTTCTGGCGTAGCTGAACGTTTAGGCATTTTTATGTAGCCAGCAAGCTGAACGGTTTGAACCTAACTCACACGTGATATTGACGTAAGGTCACAGTCACGATAAAAACTTTTGCTTGCAACTGCCCCCCCCCCCCCCCCCCTTTTCCCCAACCTTAAAAAAAGAAAAAAAAATATTTTCACCGTGATGTAATCTTACCTTGAAGCAGAGAAAAAGAAGTAAAGAGGGCGTTGGTAGTGGGGTGCTTGGAAGGATGTTTTACGCTGAGCTCAACCTATGAAGCTTAGTAGAGTTTAATACAAAACAAGATATGATATACAACACGAGCGGGTTAGCTAGAAACACTCGGCCTTAGAGGTAAGATAACCTTTTTCGAGCCCACTCACTGGGTTTGAGGCAACGTTACTAGAAGCCCTCAGTTGGGAAACTGCCATAGAGCTTGCTTTAAAGAAGTGGCTCCAATCCGTACTCGAGAACCGAGCTGATGGCGATCGCAACGCCGCCACTTCTCCCGCAGCGTCCACTCCGGGAAATGCACGGCTGCACATCGGCACTGCGCTCAATAAAGATGTGCTACCTACCTACTAGTCGGGCAAGGGCCAGTGGCGCTATCTCGCAGGGTCATCTCGCAGTATCTGTGTAAAGCAACTTTCATGTTTCAACTCGTCGCTAAAGGGTGGCGCTGCTATCGTATTTAGCTCAGTCTTGGTGGACGTCAGCGGCCCAGGTTTCCAGGGCGAGTTTCCCAACTGGGATTTTAGTAATGTTGGTCTGAGGATAGTTTCTCACCGGCGTCCCTGCTAACCCTAACCTAGTGGACTGTGGTTTCGACAAGCACAGCCTGCGTAGGTGCAATTTCAAACACGGCTGGCGGCTAAATTTCCGTCTTTTCCCGCTTATTTTGCGTTTTATGGTGTATGTATTTTCCCGAGGACCGTTGAGAAAGCATTGTGCCACATTTGAAACAAACAAAAGCAAGAACTGTAAACTAGTTTTGTTGGGCACGCGCGCGACAGAACGAATGCGACTGGAATGTTTGTTTAATTTTACAATAAGTTTTGACGGCACCGTCCGTTCAGCCGCGTGTCAAACGACAAAGCGCTTATTGTCGAAAATAATTTACTACAAAAGATAGCTGAGAGACATGCATATTTCACGCGCAGAAATAGCGTGTTTACTGATGGACAGGACTCCGACGTACAATTTGGAAAGTGTTGACATTCGGACAATATATTGTACCTACCACACGGTGTAGCGTTATCCGAAAAAGATTTATTAAAAAAAAATATATATATCAAATAACACCTTACTAGAGTGTCGACGACATTCACGTCTTGACGATCGGACGAAATTCAAGAGGAACTCGTTTTGGGGCACGCTTTTGGGGAGGGTCTGACTAACGTCGGCTACTTTTGAGTTTCGATCAAAGTTTGTCATATCGCGTCAACTTTGAAGCAAGTTTACGCCAACGCTTGCACTATTTCCTCTCCCAGTTTCTGACCCCTCTCGAGCAGTGAAGGTGCTGTCACACTAAGGCAACACGACGGCAACAGCAGCACATGTTGTCCAACAGTCGGGCAACTTGTTGCTCGCTCCCCGTGTTGTCCGACAAGCTTGTCACATCGCGGTAACAGTAGCACAACATGGACGACAACAAAAAATGTTGCCGGCAACACGAGAAAATCCTGTTGCCGGCGACCCTGCCACATCACGGCAACAATAACAGTCGGGCAACATGTTGCTGCCGCCCGGCAACCGTGTTGGCCGGTTTGTTGTCCGACCACCCTGTAGCACCGCGCTGACGGCGGGGACAACGTGGGGGACACTCCGCCATCTTGATTGTTTACCTTCGTTCGTGTGTGGCGCGGAGTCGCTGGAAATGTGACTCTAGAAATTGCTAGTGCGTTCCAAGGGCCGGAAATTACCACGGGACGACATTAACCAGGGAATGTGATTAGAAAACTTGACACGGGGACTATTTTCCACCCTCTAGTTTATCAAACTTTTCTTGATTCGCTGACAAAGCAGATAGCCCTAACCGAGCATGTGAGATAGCTGATGTACGGGATTTACGCCACCGTATGAAGTGTTTCTGTCCGGTTCTTTCATTCATGCAATTCCCATTTCTACTGTAAAATTGAGTTCATACCGGCAGTATCCCAAAGCGTCTTTTGTAGCGTGGTGTTGAGCTGAACTGACAGTGCTTAAAAACAGCAACACCCGACACGATCAGCCTTCATGACAATCGGTGGAATATTTTTCAACGCTGTCTATTGGCCTACCGCATGCTCTGTGATCGCTTCATTCCCCAAAACGTCCTGGGTATTTTTTAAACAAATCAGGTGTCTGGTAGCGGCTGTTTCCAAGTTGCAAGCATCAGCAGTCATGAACACAGTGGCCGTTCTAATGCTTCCTTTTTTAATCTTTGCTTTCCGGATTATTTTTATTATACTTCATAAGCGAGTGAGTAGGCATGCCATTTTATTCCACTAGCAGTAGTGTGAGCTGGTCTCTCGGCAGTTCTAATTTCAACATCTGAACGTTCACGACCGTAGCTGCGACCATTTCGACAATCGCTTTCCCTAATTACGTAGTAAAAACATTCATCAAATTATTTTAGCTGCACGTCAGCCTTAATTATTGTTAAATAACGTTTTCCAAGCCTTTGCTAAAGTAAGACGTTATTGATAGGGAACTAGCTGTGCCATCGTAGCTATATGTGTGTTGCCGTGTTGCTGTGTTGCCGGCCCGAAATTCGCTCAGCCAGCGATCAGGGCAACACACATCCAACACAAGTTGCTGCTATTTTTGTTACCGAAAGCTGTCATATCGAGGCAATATTTTAGTTGTCGTCCATGTTGTACTGCTGTTGCCGCGATGTGACAGATTTGCCAGGCAACACGGGGAGTGAGCAACAAGTTGCCCGACTGGTGGACAACGTGTTGTGTTGCTGTTGCCGCCGTGTTGCCTCAGTCTGACAGGGCATTTAGGGAAGGAACGGACGCGACTGAACCGTGGGCCGTTTCCTACCCCAAGTCCCCAACTCGAAAACCTATTTTTGGCGATGCTGATGACCCAGAAGGACTTTACACGGATTATCTCTGGGAGGGGGGAGAACAGTTGTCATTGGTCGCAAAATCGGGGCCGTTCGACGTCCTTCCTCTCCTTCGTTTCCCATGAATGTCGAAGAGAAACGCTTGAATGGCCAGGCGCTTACCAGGCCTATTTCTCACAGTTGAAGAGAACACAAAAAGGGTACGTAGCATGCATAAGAAAAAATAAATTGGAAATTTTCAAGATAGGCCGGAAAATTTTGAATGCAAAGCCGCAAAACATAGGTGGAGAATCGCGCTGAGCAGGTTTCAACAGTCCAAGACAGTAAGAGAAAATTTCAAGCTGATAGGGGGCGCGAAAGTCGCACGAGCTGCATCATCCAGAGAACGAGGGCTTCCCGTGAGGGTGTCAGATTTCGTTCTTTCAGTCCCAGGTCTGTGTCCCCACAGCTTTATGTTTTTGTTAATTTTTTCTCTCTGAGAAATAGAAGTGTCTGCCGAGGGCGTTTTGTTTCAGTCCCGGACTTTGCTTCGCCTTGCCTGCCTCCGCGGGTATCGTGTTCTCCGAGCCTAGCGGAATCTGTTGTTGTTTTTTGCCGCATGACCCGAGGAGGACACTTGAGCGCAGCCTGTCATGGAACAGCACCTGTGCTCGCTCACGTCCGCCCTTTTAATGTACTGTACTCTAAGCCAACGGATGCACGGTGGCACGGACCAGGGGGAGGGGGACACGCGCACGCGCGACAATGGATCCGTATTGTTTTATCAAAACACGTTTCGTGGAAACATGTTGTAATTAAATCTGAAAGCCGCGAATGGCGACCGCGTGATTCACAAAGGCATTACCCAAGATTCCCCCCCCCCCCCCCCCCCCCCGGTAAACTAGACGAGAGGCAAGATGTTTGTTGCGAAAACAGCGAAATTTTCACCGAGATGTCGCAAGGTGTGTCGATGCAACGGACGCGGGAAGCCTTTCGATGAAACGGACTGTCGATGAAACGTCGTTCGACTTACTGATTGTCACTGGCGACACTTATCACATTTCGATCTTGAAGCCTGGGTTGGCGGGGTAAAAATAGGAAATCGCTACTATCGTTGACCAAGGATATGACGATACCCGGCGAGGTAACTTCTGGGCTACGAAAACTGTCGTGGACAGCAGCACTCTACCTGCTGTACTTGGGATAAGGTACGAGTCAGACACGCACTACAAAAAAAAAACAAAAAACAATTAGTGGCCATTGTTTACAGCCACTACCGTATATTAGGCATATATTATTTGTATTAGTTATAATACTTTGTTATCGCTATAACCTGTTTAATCACCAAAGCTGCTATTTTGTCACCAAAGCTGCTGTTTTGTCGATCTGTTAATTGCTTTGACGCGGTTTGTCCCTGTGCTGTTTTGTCGCTTGCTTTTAAACGCTCGCTGTTGGAGTAACCGAAAAGGCTAAAAGCTCGAGCTTGACGCATTGGCTGCAGGAGCAGACGTGCAGTGAAGTGAAGTTCCGGCTGCAGGAGCATACATGCAGCGAAGGCACGATCAAACGCAAGAGGCTCGCGCTTGTAGCCTTCGCGGCATGCAGTGTCGTGCCCGTTACCGAAAATAAGTAACGAAATAGCGCCACTCGTTAGCTTGGAAAGAAGCTAACGCGTTACAGAGCTCTTTTACCATTTTGCAAATGTAACGAAATACCGGTGTCGTTACCTGCCACGACTAACGGACGTTACTTTTACGTTAGTTTGTCGTTACTTTGTGTTTCACTGTTAGTATACGACAGCTGTTCGTATATGACTGTAGAGTCTCAACCACAACGTCTCCACAATATTGTCAAACACGAATTCTTGAGAAACCGGAGCTTGATGCATACGGCCCATCTTCCTCTGCTTCAGCAAGGGCGTGTCGGGAAAGTGGCTTGTAGTCTGGGTCTTTCGTTTCTTTGAAATTACCGCGAACTCTGACAGCTTCGGCGAATATAGGGACTGGCGGAAAGGAAAAACAATTGGACTGATGCGAAGCACCGCTGCTGATTTCTAGTTATCAGTGGTCTGGAAAAACGAAAGATTAACTGAATAGACTGCACCAGGAATTAGTATAGAAAAAAGCTCTCTAAATAAATTGCAAACTTAAACAAATATCAAATAGGCGTCTTTATATATAACTGCCATGATTGATTTACCCTCCTTCTGAAATATACAAGTAAACTAAACTAAGCCGATGTCGAAGACTTTTCGCTAGCTTACATTAATGAGCATTGTGAGATGCAGCGTCCAGAAATAGATCATTTGGTCTTTGAATGCCAGGGAGTTGGGGGCTAACTGCGATGGAAAGAAGGTGCCGTCTGTGGTGGTTACGCAGTCTTTTGTCTAATTTTTGAGGGGCTATGGGAGAGAGGATGCCCAGAGGATTTAGTGGGTGGCGACCTTCTGAACGGGAGTCGCTATCCAGCGAGAGACCGCACCTCTGTACCATGCACGGCAACAGGGATTCTAAAATATGGTGACGTCTTTCTGGTGACGGACGCCTTTCAGTCCTGCGATAACCTCGCCACTTGTTTTGGCTCAAAGCGTGGGAACGTGAACGCTTCCAAATTTAGAGTTTATCCTTTCTGTTGTTGACAGAACGAGCATTTATTTATTTTGAAGAGAAGGATTTGGCGAGCTGCAGTAGCTAGGGGCGATTAGGCAGAATCCTTCGAGCGGAGGCAGACTGTTGCCTTCTGAGCGCATGTCTCTTTTCCAGCGAGACGCCTCTCCTTCAGGGCACGGTGACTGTGGTCTTAGTATCTTGGATACAAAGACTGTAAACAGGACACTTAGGAATTTGCAAAGCGATAATCTCCCGTCTTTGGGGCCCGGTCGTGGGACTTTGAAACTGTTTTCCGAGGGAGTTTGCGCAGAATAAAAATTATTTTGCTTTCAAACTATCGTTACTTTCGGTTTTTAACCGAAAGTAACGGGTAACGTAAATTGATAGCAGATACCGTACGATAATAACGACATTACTCGTTGCTCATTTGGAATTCTAACGAGTACGTTAGTACGTTACAAAAAGAAACTAACGCGTTACTTCTAACACTGTAGTTCGCGGCTAGTCCATGTGAAGTACGACCACTTCACCAGTGTCTCTTCTCTAAAAAGTCAACTTGGGCTTACACCTTTACTCACCCGAAGAAAAGCTCTGTCTTTGCGTTCTCCATAAAATTTATTACCATTGTCGAGAACTAAAGAACGCGTTGCTTTCACCCCCCGATCAAATATCATCCCGCCTGAATAACTCTTCCGGCAAAACAAACGCGTTCAACGAATCATTCCTCCCATATGCCATCACAGAATGGAACCAGTTCCCATCCTCCATCGTTAGCACCACTGATACAACAGAGTTTTACGATCTCTTCCTAGCCCATTGTGTATTTCCCGTGTTCTTATTTTTGTGTATTATATTGTTATAATATTGCGTCTGCTATTGTAGTCATCGTTATACTGCCCCCCCCCCCCCCCCCCTTCCTTGTGTATGCCCAAACCGGGCCTTTAAGGTGGAATGGAAATAAATGAAATGAAAGGTACACGTCACGGTCCGGCGACAAGACACCTGCCCGCTTGTTCTGACCGCTAGCAGGAGCTTGCGCGTCCTGAGAAAAACTAGCGCGTCTTTTGTAAGGCGAACGATGAACACGACCAAGGAATAATTGTAAGGAGTACTTAACGAAAGCGAGAAAATTGCTTCATTGACCTTTAGCGATAATTTTTCTTTCTTTGTCTTCCCATTAGGCCAAGATGTTTGGGGCACTAGTCAAGCCATCTAGTCTGCTGCTGTTCTTCGGAGGAACCTTCATGGTGGTCTACATGCTGGTCATCTGCGACGTTGTCACAAATCCCGTCATGGGGTCGTTCCTGTAAAAATCGAAGCGTCGGCTAGACGACAGCGGTGGTACACTGCTTCGACAAAGACACACCCTCTTGTCGCTGTGATTGGTGACGGCTTTCGATCCTTGCGCGCCCAAGGGAACGACGAAAGCGTGTACACGACGAGGACCAATGAAACGAGGTCCAAGGCCTGTCAATCATCTACGAAACCGATTCCACGTTCTTCTTTAGCGACGGGTGGCATCGTCTGCTTCGGCCATCGTCGGAAACCATAGCCTCGTGTTCAGAGGGACGACGCCTACAATGATCGAACCAGCGGCTGGCGAGTCCATTACCTCGTAACTGAAGCAACGTCACCCAGGCTTCACCCATAACCCGAATGCTGGTTAACCTTCCAGTAATGCTCCAAACAGTGGTTTCACCCTCGATGAAGGATTGCAAACTTTCCAGCAGTTCGGTGCGCTCAGAAAGTTCCAGTATAGTTCACGCCACCAAATCTCGAAGCAAGTGACAAGTCATTTGGCCTCTGCTTCAGTGACAACAACAACAATAACACACACGCGCTGACAAAAAAAAAAAAAAAAGAAAAAGACAATTAAACAGGATTTCATTGAGCGCTCAAGGACTGCCAGTGGTGTTCCGTTAAAAAACACGTTTATTTATTTCAAATAACTTTACTCCGATTAGTTTCGATTGAATCGCATAACGTATTACGACATTGCTCCCCTCAACACTGGGCGAAACGTGCCCTATTTGAGCCCCGTTATTTCGTGGTCATTGTCTCACTCCTGGGCGAGATCATTGCGTCACTGCCAGAGTTGCACTGCTGGCGCAGGACTGGGCAACTGCTCGCCCCAGTCTTCGCGGAGGTAGAGATAACAATTTAAAAAAAACACACAAACATAAAAACAACGGGACGTGTAGAAGAGTCCCCCCCAGAACGGCGGAAAGATTTAGATGATCTTCGGCCTTTGGACGTGTTCTTGGAACCCGTTGGTCCGCGGCTTGCATCAGCGCTCGGGTAATGACTTCCGGGCCAGTGTTGGCCGGTCGGACTCGATTTAGTTGAACGGTCGCGTACAGGGCAGCGATGAAGACAGCGATGAAGGCAGCGTGGAAGGCAGTATCACTTGTGCTCCAGAGATGAAGCGGCGGCGAATGGTCCCTCTGCAAAGGCCACGCCAAATATACACCCGACATCACGCCGATATGCGTAGGAACGCCGACGCACGTCCCGTTATCACCGCACAACATGTATAGCGACAGCTGTCAACAGATTATTGCGTTCCATTTTCTGTACTACCCCCGCTTCACGGGCACTTAAAATACCTTCAGAACAAACTCCTTCGAAGCAACGGCGAATCGGCTCGTGATCTCCGGGCGCGCCCATTGGCGTGCGCTGATTCGCTGTTTTTTTAAATAGTTTTGAAGGGTTTTTAAATGCACAAAAGCAGGGGTATACGATTTTATTAGTCGTAATGACTGAGCATATTAAAGGAGTGCCTGAATATATTGTTCTGGAGGTGAGGCGGTTATCCAGAACATCATTAGAATAGCTTCCCCATCTCACAAGTGTCTACAGAACAGACATTCTGTTGACTTGGAACAGTCCAAGTCAACAGAATGCTTTGTTTGCACGAGAAATCGCGCATTAAAGGCACTTTCCAAAGCCACCCGCTCGCGCCCGCGCCTTCGTCGGCACTGCAGACTTTTCTGAGATGGAGGGCGTGTTCCGCCGAGCGAGGACCAATACGACAATTTAAAACAAACTGAGACGACTTCATGAAGCGAATATGCGGCGAACAACCAAGCGGACATCGCCCGGCGGCACGTTCGCCGTTGCGCGCTCCACCTCGGGTGCACTGTTCTGACGCCGGGCGCAGAGCCAGTGCCGCCGGGCGAAATTCGTCCGTTTTTCTTTCGCAGCATATTCGCTACATGGAGTCCAGCCTGTAAGGGTGGCATCAAGACTACTAACTATCCAGTTAACTTGTACGTGCGATCTCAACCGCGACTGCAACTCGGTGACGGAGCGAATGAGTGCCCCGTATAGAATGGGGTCAACCCGAGTGACATGCTGATACACCCCTTTGCTCTTTGTGCTTGAGACAGCTACGATTGTAAAAGCCCGCTACGACAGAAATGTAGAAAATACTAGACGAAAATCGCACGAAAATTAGAACACGTAAAAAATAGCTCCATGCGCCACTTTAAAAAAAAAACTACATACAACGACAACAAAACAATTATACTTGTTCTCTCCTCAAGAAAAAAGGGAACTTTGCGCATTGTTCATACGCGGCACGAAGTAGTTCTTCCAAGATTTGGTTGTCGGGGAAAAAAGCGATGCTTTTGGTGTTTGAAACGTGTACATCTTGATAAGATGGCACATATCTAATCTAAAATGGAGTCGCCCATATCTTAATTCTCTACATAAAGTGGGAACCCAGTAATGCTCCGCAAGGAGCCGGACTTTTTTTTTTTTTACTCTACGGTTCTTGAGGTGAAAACAAGTAGAGCGTACTAATCGCGTGTAAATCGCACATATGATTTTGTTAAAACGATATTTAAAATTCCTCCAGAATAAAAATACACGCGTAGTTTGTAGAAAAAAAAAAAAAAAAAAAGAAAGAAATGGTGTGAAACTATCTTTGGATATTCCGAATTTCGTGAGAATTTCGGCTGACTTCTCGCCCATGTGCTAATAGCGTCATCCCGCCCCCAGTAGCGTGTCTCGCGCACCACGGAAGGTTTCTGGCCTTTCTTAGATTCGGGAGTCACTTGAAGTCTCATTCGTTTGAGGCTTGCTATAGACCTTTTCTGTGTACTCTCGTCTCCAGCCACCTAATAGCCGTATCCGGTATGGGCGACGAAAAAATAATCCAACCTTTCAACCTGCAAATAGTAAAGAAATAAAGGGGACGGAAAACGACAAAGTGTGACGTCTCCGCTTATATCTTAAATGCCTTCTATTGGCGTGGCAAAGGCAAAACAATGTTTTCGCCCGTACTGGAAGTGACGTCAATTCAAAGCAACCTAAGCACGAAGGGCAAGGGTAAGACGGGCCGGGGAGGAGCAAGCAGGCGGAACGCTGGAGAAGAGAGAGGGAAACCTCCTTTTCTCTTTAGCGTTCCGTCTGCTTCCTCCTCCCCGGCCCGTCTTACCCTCGCCCTTCGTCCTTAGGTACTATCGATAACTGAAACGTACGTTATTTTTTACAATTTGACGATAAATCGGGACAATTGCCCCTGCTAGTTAACCGAATGGAAAACAACAACGTGCGTTTTTTTATCGTTCCCCATCTCAGGGTTTACAAGATGTCGACAACAGTAGCCTCGATATTAAGCGTATGCCGTCTGCAAAGTAGGAATTGAAATAGAGTTCGAGACGCAACTGAAGCCCGTAAATGGACATACGAAAACCAATATAGAACTACTAGATTCCGCGTAAAGTATTATGAGGCAGTTTAACAACTTCGCATTCATACGACTGGATAAAGCGCACGACGAAAGGCCAAGTCGGAAAGCTTCGTTACCACACACACCCCACTACGCACAGCCTGTCCATTCCTTCTTCCGGAAAACATTTTGTTATGCAAAATCCAAACAGCCCCGGTGCCCCAACCCGCGCACTCTGTGGCATCAAGTTGTGTTTTTTTCTTATCCTATGTTTTTAAATTTAATGATGCAACTGAAAGATAATGATTCGGGGTGTATATTATACAAAAAAAAAAGAGTATAATGATACATAAAACTGGAATTATTCAATATAAGAAAGAAACAAACCGGGAAGCATATCAAAACGCACGTGACTTTTTGTGAGCCAGAAAATCGCTCCAACTAAAATGAAGTTTAGCAATAACCTTTTTTTTTCCTTTTTTTTTTCCGAAACGCGTTTTTGAGCGTGTCTTAGGTTTTGGTGTAAAAATATGTTCCTTGACGAAGTCTCCGACTGTCGCTGGGTCTGGCGCGAGAACTCCAGCACACCAGCACCAGTATGAAAGCGCTTTCGTCACGCCAACCGACCAAGGTTCTATGTCTGGTGGCTCTACCTGGAGGGGCTGGCACGAACGAAACGCGTTGGTCTCGGAGCAGTACTCGGACGAACGTTAGCGGGTCGCGCCATCTAGCGGACGGCTGCCAATGCTCTTCAGAGCCCTGCCAGCCCTGCTCCATCCTGCTCCATAGCCCTGCCGAACACGCTCGAGTCGCGATGCTGACGTACGCACGCCTCTTCCGCTCGTAGCTCTGGCTATCGGCTGCGTGGGGAACTCGACGCACAAAGGCTACACGGTAGACACACAAGGGAGCGCTGCGACGACTGCCCGCCGTGGCAGCTGTCGGATGCCGGATCAATCTCGCTCATGTGCCGGTGCCGGGCGTGGACGCTGACGACGATTAGAACTGATAAACCGCTTCGACGCCTCATGACGTACGTCGTAGAAGTAAATAATAACAACAAAACCCCCCAAGTATTGCATAGTTATGGCCTGAGCAATTTGATAATTTCACTCGAATCGCTGTTGCGGTAGTCACCGCCATATTAAATGAACACTCGTATATGCAGGTAAATACAAACAGTGCCAATGAGAGAAAAAAAAAAAAAAAAAAGGAAGATGTAGCTGGGTTCGGATTCTGTCCCAAAACGTTTTTTTTAATCGTTTTTTTCTTATTTCATAATATTGGTACGGTTTCTCTATCTGCTTACCTAATACGCACATATATCGAAAAAAAACGAAAATAATTTGTGGTGGATTAATGATGCATCTTCATCGAAGGAATCACAAGATTATCCGTGGAAGGGCAATACTTGTGAGTGTAGGTCTGCGCGTCTTGGAACGTGTATCTCAAATACGCGAATGTTGCGCAAATAGTAATAAGACTAAGAAAAAAAAAAAAAAAAAAAAAAAAAAAAAAAGTTACTTTGAGAACTCGGGGTGTCCTGCTTTTGAAGCTACAAGCTGCACACAGCCAATAGATAGTGCGACAGGCAGGGCACGCAGAGGCCACCCCAAACGAAGTTTCTACCAAACCTCGCACATTTAGTTGCTCTTCTACGAGGCTAAATGCACACGGCAACGCTCGTACGCGATTAATACACCATGAGCAACTTTGGTTATTAGTTCTATTCCGCATATACATAAATCAAAGTTTGCGTCCACGGCGGGACTTTTTTTATTTCTTAATTAGGTATATATTTTTTTAATATTTACTTTGTCATAAGAAAAAAAAGGTTTAGTTGAACTTCCGATTTCTAACTATCCAGCACTGTCAACATCGGTTAACTAAATGAAGCACACCTCTACATCCCTTTGTGGATATGACAGTTTGCTTAATTTTGGATTAAAGCGTTAAGTGTTAAAATTTAGGTAAGCTATTTTCAGCAGTGTCGTTCCAGACCTCTTGTTAACAGATTAGGGCTGGGCATCGATAAAAAGTTTTAACCCGATTAATCACTACCCTTTGGTCTATTAATTAATCGATTCACTGCTCTCTTTTAGCAGTCAAGATTGTTATTATTTTTTGGCCATTGTTGAATATGTCTGTGTTAAACGGTGTAATATACAATTTCGATTAGGAATAAACCGCGATGTGTAGTTAAGAACAGTTCAGAGATACTCACTCGAGGATTTTTACTTTAGCTGCAAGGCGTAAAGGCGTTCGTTGATATTCTCTGGCAAGAGCGATCTTCTTTGATTATTCACAATAGTCTCTGCTGCGTTAAACGGACACTTGAACGGCGTTGAAGAGGCCCGGACACCTTTAACCTTGTACCCCTTGTCTGGAGTTACAAATCTCGGCCTTACAGTTTAATTTAGGTAAAATGTTTACTTAAAGTTTACCCTTCATACCATCTGTACCCCTCCCCGTCTGCGTGGTGAAAGCGTGTTATTTATACTTTCTCCTGGTTCGTCAAACGTTTACCGATTAACCGACTAAAAAGATTAATCGCGATTAAAGAATTAATCTATTAGTCGGTAGGTTATCGATCCATTGCTCAGCCATAGTCAACATGTTATTCGAGGATGTTCTCTTGACATAAAATGTTATATATGCCACTTGTCGTCTAGCCTCAAGGGTGTCGACGACAAAATTAATTATTTTGGAGTTAATTGCCATATCCTGCAGGCGCGCTTTAAACAAACGCAAACACATGGCGCTGGAAATGTCCGTAACTAACTTCTTGTTTTTTTGTGTTTTTTTTTTAAATTTCTTTAGAAGGTTTTTTTAGCGTAATGTTAGAAACGAGAGTTACGTTTGGACGTCTGGATTCCGCAGCGTCACGAGGTGCTGCTAGTAGCGTGGGGACGTGAGCGAAGCAAAAGTGAGACCAGCACTCTGGACGCCAGGGCTGTCTGCAACAGTAAGGCACACGCATAAAGGAGGCTTGTAAAATAAATAAACAAGCAAGCAGAACAAATCCGTCCCCATTACGCGGGTGGACCAACTGGAGCGTTTTGATATTTGACTTTAGAGATATATGCCATATACTCCCCTTCAAACGCTGAACTGCGCAGCTACCGTGAGGCAACGGATATCTCACGAGTGCAGATAGCCCTTCGATTAGCCTTTTACAGACTTGTGCCTATCTCAAATAGTCTACTGAAGATACTGTATTTCAAACACTTTTTGAAGTAGCTGGGATTCTTGCAAATACTTTTGATCGAGAGTATTTGATACTGTATTTTAATTACATTTCTGAGTATCTTATACTCATTATCTCAAATACATTTCTGACGTTCCGCCATTTTCCGAGTTTTTTGGTATGAAGTGGCGTGGGCGCGGCACGAGCAAACGTGAACATTCTTTCGAGCAACCAATCTTGTTGCTAGCTCCGATAAGCACAGTGACTTAGACTCAGTTCGTGAAAACATCGCTTTTTTGCCAATATTTCACTCATATTTCACCCAAAGTTTGTACAATGAAGGTTTTCCCCCTCGCCTCCTCTCCAAAGATGCCTTTTGTTTCCTAGTGTTTCCCCAAAAAAATTTTGAATTAAAAGGGTCGATTTTACGGAAGTAAAGATTGTGACACTTAGGCGCAACGCAGAATACCCACGACAACAATGCAAACTTCGGTGTCAAAAAAAAAAAAAAAAAAAGAAAATGAGAAGTGGACACAAAAAGAAGACACTTTTTTTTTGCTTGTATATTTGATATTGCTACAACAAAACCTCGAGGTGTCTTTTTCATTCAAAGAGCGCTGCGATGACTACCAGAGAAGAGGGGAAGAAGGAGCTCCAACTCGTATCGGGGTCCTCTTTTGTGCCTCCCGGATATGCACAGAAGTCGCCATTCTCCTCCCAGAAGACTATAGAAGATTAACCTGTCATTTAAAATTCTTACGAAAGCAGCTTCCCTCTCCTCCTCTTACATGGCGGTCAAAGGTATGCGATGTGACGTCAGTGCAAGCCATATATTGCTCTTGCGAACATTGTATGTAAGCGAACATTGATAAGCAAAGAACAGGACAGGAAACGAACTATGAGCAGGACGACCTTTCAAAATGCCAACAAAGCGTCCCTCAACGTTGGGTGTCTTTCTGAACGCAACCTACTTGAAGAAGGTGCGACCAGTACCGTGATTATTATGTGGGCTTTCTTTGTTATCTATTCACTCATTTCCGTATCCCAAGTTCCTTTATAGTGAATTTCCCATGAAGGGCATATGGATTGCAGTTAAGCGATGCGTCTAAGGTGCGCCGCAGGACGTGATATTCAGTGGCACATTACACCTGAAGCGACCTCTTTCTTTCTTTTTGTCCCAGGAATGTTTTGTAACATGTATCAGTGATATCTTGCTTCTTATAGTTGGATTGCATAGAATAACCCTACGATAATAATCCCTGGAGAAAGGGAACAGGGGGGCAATGACAAACACAAATCTCCAAACACAGCTAGGTGACTGGTGACTCCAGGAATTATCATCGTCATTCTTCTCCAGCTCGCTTGCACCAAGTGGAGTACCAACTTGTTTTTGAGTGGGGGGGGGGGGGGGGGGGGGCGAACCAGACCCCCCCCCCCCCCCCAAGGGCCGGGGGGCAGTGCCTTTGGTATCCCTTGGGCGGCTGTTTTAGGGAGGGGGGGGGGGGAACACATGCCTTGCCCCCACACTCTGAGAACTGGGGTGGGGGGGGGGGGGGGGCAAGAGCCCGCCTTCCCCCCCCCCCCCCCCCCCCCCCCGGTTGGTACGCCCATGCTTACACCTTCGCATTAATTGCATTATCATCATTCATAACCCTACGATGCTTTTTTTCCCCTCCGTTTTGTCCTGTTGCGTCCTAATAAACCACTGATAAAACAGATTTGCGCAAGTGTAAAACTGTGTTCGTCACTAACTTCGATACAAATTACGCAATACGGAAGTATCTTCAAATGTAATTGAATGACATATCTAAGTATTTCTACTCTTCTGAAGATACTTTGCAATGCAAGTAACTTATGTTGTATTTTAAATACTTTATGAAGCAGGTATTATTTATTAACTTAAATACTTTTATCGAGTATTTTGTCCAACACTGGCCCCTTTTTTATCACAACCTTCGTTACTCTGGGAATATTCGACCATCTGCGCCATTGCAAGTTCGGCCAACTATATGAAGCGCGGTTAGCTGAATGCCGATATGGCTAGGCGTTCCTGTACCCCACGCATCGCAAATTGCGCACAACGCCTGCAAAGTCTCGGACCTCCGAAGAATACGTTACTATAGTCAGTGGCGAGGTGAGGATGGCCGGGAGGAGCTGCAGTGGTCCTGCCTCCAGCTCCTAGCGTCGACGACGGTTTGCCGTCTCGTGCACCTCGGGCGCGCGCGCACAGCCGAGGCACGATGGAAGGCAGGGAGCGCATGCTGGAGGCCGGCCGTTCGAAAGACACGCCCCGCCGCTCTCATTCTGTCATTGACAATAGCACGAGTGCTTGCGGCACGGAGGCACCTTTTTAAAGTCACACGCTCACGCCCGCACTCTCGAGAGCGCTTTTGAGTGCTATAGAGAGGAGTATACTTTCAGTGCTTCTTGTTTTTGTGCCATTTTCGATGCTACGAGTATCAGTATTTTAAGTTCGACCAATCGCGTGACGCCACAGACTTCAGCGCCGGGGAGAGCTTGTATCCCAAGAGACGATGGCAAGTTACGATACAAGCCGCCTTTCTGTTTACTTTTGTTTCTGTGGGAAATGAAGCGACTGCAGCAAACTAAACCATGGCGCAGGACTCGTGGCGATTGCAAAACGCATTCAGAGTAAACGAGAGAGAACGACCGTCACCTATGAGGGCCCTCCAGTCGACGTTCGAGAAGAATGGGTGCTGCATCATCTCCGTGAAGCCACCGCCCGTGCGACATCCGAGGCGCATCGAGGGATCCTTCAACGTGGTAACAATTTGGATTACGCCGTGTGGTGCGCCTGTTTTTCGAACACTGCTATACAAGCCGGCGGTGACTCGCCGCTAAGTCGGGGTACACTGAGATCCCGAGCTGACCTCAAACAAACTCGGTGGAACGCAGGTGTCGGCATCAAAAATCTCTCTTGCGGATCTCGTTAGAGATCCGCAAGAAATATTCTCGATGCCTTAAAGGGGCCCGGCAATCATATTTAAGCGTCTACCCCTTTTGCGGTTTCCACGTCTCTTGGGGTTCGGGCAAGCCAGCGGGCACGGAGAGAGTAACTAAATATCAGTGCGTCATATTTTAACCGGACGACGCGGAAACCTCCTCCACCGACGGGGGCGACCCGCGGTACCGAAAACGCGCGATATGTGACGTCTTTGGTCCTGGGCTTACTACTGGTCAGAGCCGCTAAAAGCTTCTTTTTAGTCGAAATACAAAATATAAGTGGCGCGATCCGTTTTAGTTATTTATAAAAGTAGTTTTTGTTCAGTTTTTTTGGATCAGAAAAGAAACAAATGCAGTTTATAAAGTACGGAAATGACCCGTCGACATACCCGCCACCAAGCGATGGAAAAGGCGGTGCATACCAGAAAGGAGTAGTGATATGGTGCCTAGAACGCGTCTCCGACTGGTGTGTTTACCGCGGCCAAAAAAGTGGTCCCTCGATTTCCGCCTGATGACGTCATACAAGTGTCATGCTGTCGCCGGTCGCGATCCTGGCGGCGTCCTAACAGTTGTGGTACAAATAGCAGACGCCTGTTCTGCTGCAGGTCGCTCTCCACTGTGACAGTCCACGGATGCTACAGCAGCTGGAAGTTGGGACGCCTGGGACGCCGTGACGACAGCGACACTCGCGTTCGCTCGTGCTTTTCGCCAGCAATTCTACGGCCAACCGCCAGGATCGCGGCAGGCTACAGCATGACACTACGGCTTCTGTGGCGTCATTTGTTGCCACTTCGGGACCACTTTTTATGTATGGGCGGGCTACGACGCTAAACACGCCAGTCGAAGACTCGTTCCAGGCACCATAGGAGTGGGATAAGGCGCCGACACGGAAAGGTACCGGATGTACGCGGCGGCGCTGCGGTCGTATCGACTGGAGAATCCGACCGGCTCCGAGCGTTCCGAAGGCCTTCGGCGAGCAGCTTTGTCTTGCGGTTTGGCCGTTTCGCGGTGTGGCAGCGAGAAGTGGCTCCCATTCTAAACTAATCTTTACCCTGTGTTTGCTGTCGTTTGTGGCCAACGAAGTGCCATGCCGAATTAGTGTTTAATCGCGCAGCAAATGCAATGAAAGCCGCTCTGGCTGCTGGCTGCATACAGCCTATTCAGAACATGCTTTAGTGGCGCCCTCTCGCGCCGTCGACACGGAGTGGGGCAGCCGTGAGCGCTCGCTGAGCTCACTACCCCTCCTCTAGTTCACGGCCACTCAAGCAGCCAAGGACGTCATGAAGGAGATTATTTTTTGCTTGTGTTTGTCATTTTAATTTGCCTATAACTTTCAAAATAAAGCGAAATTCGAGAGAAGAAAAGTTTCATTAAGTTACTACGTTCAGTGCGCTCAAGTTTGGTGCAAATTAAAAACCAGTAAAAAAAGACCTTGCAGGGCCCCTTTAAGCATGCTCTCACAGCGTTACCGCGAGACATAAAGGTCAAACACGACTACTGTCTCTGACAGCTTCAGAGACACTGGGCTTATTGTTCTCACAATTCTTGGTTCCTGATTCCTTTTTTGTTGTCCTTATCGGCTAATGAAACAATCTTATTGGTTGAGAAGCAATTATAATTTTATAATTGCTTCTCTCAAAAACTGCTTGCCAGGCGCTTCTCGCGCCTGACAAGCAGTTTTGTCTGTTCACTGTTGTCCCTTTTATTTTGTCAGCCGTCTGAGTAGGCACTCGTGTTTGACCTTAGCGGCCACGCTTAGGCTATTTATATGTCTAGGTGATCCATGTTGCTCTCGCGCAACGATAACCACGAATGCGGTTGGAGACGGCAACTCACCTCTCGAAGTATGTCTTGCAGCATGTTGTAGGCCTCGTCCGTCAAAGAACGAGGGAACCGCAGGGGGGCCGCCAATGCCACTACATGCGCAAAGCGTCAGAACATTGCTTTTTTGCCGTTGAGACTGTTCACTTTAGAAAGCGAATGTACACAATCACGAGTTACCGAATTAATGAACGCAGGGATGGACACGACGGCATATATTCCGCGTCGTCGTGCCCCAAACGTATAATTCCACTAACGTGCCACTTTCTAAATTGATAATGCACACAAGATGCGGATATGGCGAAAGTTCACGCCGAGTAATCGGCGAGAGGTTTAATTCGACGAAAAACCTAGAGTGCGCTGCATTAGTGCGAAGCAGGCGTACGCTGGAATCTAATCGAGCCAACGAGCGGGCGAGTGAGTGTTTGGACCGCAGAAGCTTACTGGAATAGCGCAGCTCCCTGCGCGTCATCTGGATATTGATGTTCTGCTCGGCGGCGTATTGGGACAGAGGAGTCTTTCCGATAAGCATGGTGTATAGGACGATGCCAAAAGACCACCAGTCAGCGCCAATGCCTGCAAGGAACACATGTTGGCAGGTCGTTTACGTCCACATACCCGGCTCACTTGTCCGTTCGAATTCGCGGATATTAGGGAAGTCGGCTAGAAGCGAGGAATGCGTGCGACTCACCGCATTCGCTCGCGGAGTCCCTTCGTTTTGCACGAGTCAACCAAGGAGATAGTGGTTCAACGTGTCTGGTCTCTTTAAAGGGGTACTCCGCCGATTTCTTCATGGTCCCCGATTTGCTTGAAATTTTGCTAAACTCGCCAAACAACATCGCCAAAATAGTATCCCAAATATTAGGTCAAAATAATTTTTTTTCACGAAGTTATTGAATTTACAATTTTGGTCCTCACCGTGTTTTTCAAACTTAAAGTCTCTACTGGCAACAGCGAAGAAGTGACGCCAGTGGAAGTGCAGGTGTTCACTCTTTGGACTGTAGAATTTGTTCCTTACTGATTCGAAGCAGTTTCATTGTGTCTAATGAATGCTTTGGAAGCTCGCTCCAGTCCCCGCGCTCCAGTCCCCGCGCTCCAGCACGGAACTAATGATTGGAATATTCTATTTTTAGACTGCTCGCCCGACTGGCAAGCTTGCCTTCCACTGACGTCACGGCACTGAAAAGGGCGGGTATATTTGAATGTTGGTTTTTGCATCATTTTCATTTGCCGATTTCGCAATAACTATTATGAATTTTACGATACTAAATAGCATACCAGAAAGGGTAAAGGCCGGGGAGTCAAAAAATATAGTTAGTTGAGGTAGCTCAAAAATCGCCGGAGTACCCCTTTAAGAGTATTTGCTGACGGCCGACACGGTTATTACGAACAAACAATCGAGCAAAATGAGAGTGCGAGAGAGAGATAAAGATAGGAATAGAGATAAAGAGAGAGAGAGAGAGAGAGAGATAGAGATAGCGAGAGAGATAGAGATAGCTTGGCAGCTTTAAAAACGACACCGCGGCCAGTCTACAGTAAAGTGCTAAAAAGTTCCGAGGTCGCGTCTGCGTCGCACAGTGTAAACATCTGTAGCGCCTGCCGAGGAATGGCGTTTTATTGACAAAACGCGGGCCAGTAACTTAAGGCCAGCGGAAAAATCAACTCACCGTAATGTTCCCGTCGCAGCACCTCAGGTGCCATGTACGCGAGGGAGCCGCAGCGGTTCTTGGCCTCGAGTCCCAACTGAACGAGCAACGGCGGAAAAGCAACAACAACAACAACAACAACTTGAATAAACTACAAAACGACATCAACAACAACGAAGCTTTTGAAACTCGGGCAGAAAAGTGCTTGTAAACTATGACGTACTGGGTCTTCCACCAGATAGAACGAAACGAGGCGCCAACCGTACTGCCATGCAGCGCATGTACTGCATTTTAAGGTTGGAGAATTCCGCGAGAGGTTTCTGAAGCTTTTTTTTCTACTTTGCCGATCTATACTTAAAGTGCACTCAATATGAGAACGTTTCAACGTGCGCGCTCATGGTGCGTGCTTTGCTAGCTTCTTAAGGCGACGAACAGGTTCATACTGGGCTGTGCATTTGTAAACAATGGAGTGGTCTCTAATGGGATTCGAGACTGTCAGAACCTGCCTGATAAGCAGCTGAATTTGTGAACACCAACTTCTTTTTTTTTTCAATTTTTTGCACGTGTTATTTATTTTTAAAGGGATGTTGAACCAAACATTTCAGTGTCCACAATAAGTGGTGTACGATCTTTTCACGAGGCAGCAGTCGTCGATGTGCGTGAGCACACGCTACGAAATTGACGTCATATGCCCCCCATTCACGCTTAAGATGACAGTGAAATGTGTGGTTTCCAGGGAAAAGGAGAATAATGACAAGCTTTTCATCTCCACAGTGAGGACTGGTGTAAAAGGTAAGCCATTAATTGGTCTAACAAGCACGTAGCTTTCACATGTGGAGATGAAAAGCCCGATTTTATTCTCCTTTGGCCCGAAGTCCATACATGTCACTGTCATCCTAAGCGCGAATGAGGGACTCAATTTCATTGCGTGTGCTCGCGCCCACCGGTGGCTGCTGGCGCGTGGAAAGATAGTGCGCCGCTTATTGGGGACACTAAATTGTTTGGTTCAGTATCCCTTTAACGAGGACTGCAGTCACGAGCTCGGAGCCGAGGCACGAGTCCTTGGCTGTGTGAGTATAACGCACGTACAGCGGAAGCACCTACTAAATATATGAGCTGGCGACTCCAGCTTTCAGCGCAATAAACGTACAGGTGAGGCGATTCTGCAGAATTTCGGATTAGTTTATCTCGTTAAGGCAGAAATAAGTGAAGGAGGTAAACGTGATGGGGAGCGTTGCACTTTCCGCGTCCATATGACGAGTAAATCGTCCCCCCCCCCCCTTTTCTTTTTCAGCTTTGCTTATAAATGTTTTTCTTTAAACCGGATTAATCTCGTAGAAGCAACTTTGCCTCCTGTTTTACCCATACAAGATGAACTGTATCCCTGACGTTCCTGCAGTCTGAATGAGTGGGCCACCATAAAGTCGTAATAATACGTCATTATAATCACGCGTATGCGTTTTTTTTAAATATATATTAACGTTTCTTGCAGTCAGAAATAAATGTAATATCTAGAACTTTCTGATCGACAGTTAACAGGATAAACGTTTTCCCGATACCTGAACAGAAAAGTGTTTTTCCATACGTCCACCGATCCATCTATCCAGTCTGGCCGCATCGAAATATAGTCTCGTCGAAGAAAAGGCACTGAAAAGTATATCGCTTCAAAAGATGCCAAGCAATAAGGCAGCATGCATGACACTTTGATGGAGTGCGTAGCGTGAAAGACGAGAATATTAACGAGAGACGATTCCAGGCCGTTGACGCGTCTCCGTAAACTAAACCCTTTCCAAAAAAAAAAAAAAAAAAGAAAGAAAGAAAGAAAGAAAGATGGAGATAGAGAGAGAGCCGTCACTTTAAAACGAGGAGCGAGCCCCACACTTTCGAAAACGCCAAAATGGCGAGTATGCCACGGTGACGACGAACGTGGCGTCGGCATTCAACCGACCAACGGCCACGGCTGGATGCTATGCGTGTGTTTGTATGGTTTGCAGCGTCCCGTTAGCAGGTAATCAACGAGGCCACCTCCCCGTGGCCCGTGCTGAGGCACCTTTTTGTTTTTTTGTTTGTTTCGTTGTCGTGGCGTTCAAGGCCTCGCACGGCTTTCGACATCACGAGTGCGTTAAATAAACGAGAAGAGGCGAATATTGGCCGCGTGGAGAGAGGACGCCTCACCTGACATAGGCCAAAATCGATGAGGCGCGCATTTCCCCGGTCGTCGAGAAGCACGTTCGAGGAGCTGATGTCCCGATGCAGGTACCCTGGGCGACACGCGTGACACACTCATGTCACTCTCCGCTGCACAGCGGAGCGAGCTCGGAAGAAGTGTCCGCGTAACGCTCTTGTCCGAAATAGAACGGTGATAAACTTCATCGCGTTCCCGAGTGCCGTGATACGAAAGCTATTTGCAGCATTCGGCGATGGTGGTATACCGCGGTCCGAGGACCGCGCTTCCTAGTCCGTGGACGATAGACTTCGCCACAGCGATGCTTTTGCTTACACCTTCTTGGCGCACGAGACTCGCCAAACACAAAGTTGGAGCCCAAAGTTCGCGGAGCGCGTCGGTTGGACCTAAGCGACAAAAAGCGCAGAGTCATCATCATGACAGTCCAAACGGCGCACTCCGTAAACTCTGGCTCAAACTTTGTGTTAAAAAAAAAGTCCCTAACGTAAAAAAAAAAAATAATAAATAAAAAAAGATATCGTTTACGATTAACAAAATCAGACTGCTTACGAGTCACAGCTCCGAACCTCGTCCTGCTATTCTATGCACTGATCTCCAGTAGGGGTATTATGAGCAAGGAGGTCTGAAGCCACCGGAAGTACGCGACTTGTCCCGGAAGTGAGCGCTTGACAGGCTTTTAAACTCTTTCTCCAGTGCTGGTTCGAACAGAGTGCAGGGCACTGGACATATTCTTGTCGTCTCAAGCGAGGCTGCTCGTTGCGCAGTAAAAGCGCGTGCAGACCCGCAGAGGTCTTCTGGGAAGCCTCTCCATGTGAACATTTTGAGGTTCTAGAATCGGGGCTCTCCAAGCCTCGACCCGAGGGCCAAATCCGGCCCGCGGCTGGCCGCGGTCTTTCCAATGAAGCCCGGCCCGCTTGGAGCAGACCCGCTGCTACCGGCGCAAAAAGATGTGCGCCTAAAAATACGGCGCCTCGACGCGCTCCAGATGCGCAAAAGAAGATGCCAGAAAGAACGAGAGAAACAGCATCGTAACGAAGTTTTCTCGCCGTGACTGAACATTGCCATCACCATTCTTGGTCCCCGGCTTCACGTCTGTGTAACTATGTTAAAATCATTTTGCGTTCTCGTGCATATGATGTCAGCAGTAGTTGTATCTGTCTCGTTTGTCTTTCGCACTGCGCGAATGCGCCGAAGTCACCCATGCGCTTTGATTTATGCTTGGTGAGTTTTCGTGGTCACAACTGTGTAACGTCAAAATTAGCTAAATATTAAATTTCAAATTGAAATGTATGTATTCATTTAACTTGTGTGTGTTTTTTTTTAATGCTTGCTCGAACATTCTTTTCGGTGTTTAAATTCTTCGCTAGGTTTATTCTTAAAGTTTTTCCTCGTTTATTTTTACTCTTTCTTCCCGGCTCGCGACTCCAACTAACTATAGGTGGCGCCACTCGTTTTCCAAAATGGCGGGTTTGGTGAGGGTCGGATATGCGTGCCGCTGCTGAGCCTGTCTAGTGTGCTGGCTTCACTGAGCGACACAAATTATTTCTGGTAATACGAGGAAGCTAGAATTTTATGAGCGCAGGTCACCTCTTTATCCTGAAGGAAAAAAAACGAAAAAAAAAACAAAAAAAAAAAAAACGCTATTTAGCGTAATATTTAGGCGAGCAGGTATGTTTTAACTACGGGGCGAAACTAACACTAACCTTTATTTTAGATTCGATTTCTCGGTATAGGTCTTAATTCCAGATTCTTTCACAATTCAAAATGTGTCTCTCACCGTAATTATTTAGGTAAAGAAGTTGTTCGCGGGAACTTAAGTCCCTTTAAAGACACGGTCTTTCATACCCTTTAAAGAGAGCCTAGAATATTATTATTCGTTGAAAAAATCAGTGCTGATATTTGTGCGTTCTTGCTGCCTTTTCTTGCTCAGATAATTGTCATATGAAATAATGAATTGCGTGTCTTTCAATGGCTTTGGGGGTATTTAGATGATTAATTGCTTGATCATTTTCCCCAGCACCAGAATAACCAGAATAAATTCAATTTATACTATATGCTCACCAAACATATGCATTAAGAAACGCTGAACATGATTGTAAACCTGAGACTGGGGCAGAAAAGAGAACACAACAGAAGGTAGTAAAAGAGAAGGCAACGTGAGACTGGGACAGAAAAGAGAACACAACAGAAGGTAGTAAAAGAGGAGGCAACGTCTCAACGTTGCCTTCTCTTTTACTACCTTCTGTTGTGTTCTCTTTTCTGCCCCAGTCTCAGGTTTACAATCATGTTCAACTTACACCAGCTCGCCTGCACCCTGACTATTTTTAAGAAACGCTGTTCTCACTAGAAAAATTCACAGACGGAATCCGAGTCAGGCAGCTGAAGTGTGCGTGTTTTTAAAGCAACGCGTGACGCATAGGAGTTTGTATTGCATCCCGTATTTTACTGTTTGTCTATCTTGATAACGATGTCGAAGGTTTTCATGTGCTTGAAAGAAAACAAAATGAGACCTTTTAGAAAAGACCATTATGGTTAAATGGCATATTTTTGTGATCGTGACGTTAATTGGGGGCATACATTGCGGCGATTTGTATTAATAATAATATAAATATTAAAATTAAGATATTTTAATACGCAATTTTCGAAGCTCTAAAATAATTAGTTGCTTATGATCTAATCTCAAACGCGCGAACAAGTATCTAAGGTGTGCTAATTATCATCACTGGTGCCAATTGCAGCATTTTAAATTACCACGTTTTAAAATAACTAAAGTGTAAAATCAATGACAACATTCTAGCTAATACGAGAAATTCATGTAAAATTAGATGAATTGATGGTGCTATCAAAGTGGCGACTTTTGACAATCGGCAAAACTTCCTAAGTCATCGCCAATACCCTTCCAGTGACTTTAAACACTGGCAACAGTGACTTTAAACACTGAGATGCCCGAAGTGGGGCTACTCGGAAGCGCATGTCTTATGCTTTAGTGAAACGATATCGAGCCTCTTTTGCACCCGAAGGCAGGGTCACGGAGCTCGCTTACCGGCTCCGTGCACGAAGTTGAGCGCGTGCGCGAGTTGCGCAGACACCAGCTTGGCCTTGGTCTCTGTCAGCGGTCCCGAACGCCGGATGATCTGGCTCAGGGTGCCCCGGGACACGTACTCCATGACGAAGCACCACCTGCGGTAACAACTATCCATGCTATCTGGTCACGCTCCTCTTCCACACCCACCTAACGTGTACTGGGTCACGTGCTCCCGGTGCAGGTTCACCATTGCAGCGCAGCAACGAAAAACCGAGTTTATTTGTTTATTTATTGGTTTATTTACAGAATGCCCACAACGCTTCAAAAACGCATCGCATTTTTTTTTTATTAATGGGAAGTTATCTATTGCTTTTATAACTCCATTCGTAAACTTGGACCGCAGCCTACACCACCCCAAGGCATTCGCAACACCAGGAAACGTGACGTCACCCAGCCGAACAGATGTGAAGGGGAGAAGCGGGGAGCTATGGCCTATCCAAGTGTGCAACAAAAAGTGGCGCGGCCTGGCGGCCGAAATGTGAAATAGAGGAAAGTGTATTAAATGCACGCCGTTGGAGTAGACCCTATCTCTAAAAAAGACCGCAAGGCGACACTATTGCATTCTTTCCCGTAAACGCTTGGTCAAATGCCCCCCCCCCCCCCCCCCCCCCCTGCCCCCACACACACAACACTGTTCTTTGCAACGTCCATGAGATATTAGAGTTTTCGTAGACCACTGCGGATTGCGGGCACGTGCTCAATTCATGCTTCAAAATGGAGGTACGAGCTCGTGCTAGCAACGCAAAGCTCTAGCCGCTAGTGTATGCGGTCTACTAAAAGGCCCTATTGATCACCGCGTCTCGTGGTGCTTAATTAAAAATATCGGTTAGCGAGAGATTTGTTAGATTTTTTTTTTATTATTATTCCCCTCAGTGATTACTTATGTTGAATAGCATAACGTTAGGACCTCGCTAGATCCCCAACTTCTTAGTTTTCGTAGCCCCTAATGACGGTGGGATAAACAAGCTAGGTATACCTGCCGAAACGGAGCGTCCGGAAAACACTCGGGAGGCAAGAGACTGCTTTTGTTTGTAAACAAGAGAAGGCTTGAGGTGGTGGAGTTAATGTCCGATCACCACGGGAAAAGAAACACTATATCTACTCTCTAGGGTATGATTATCGCGCACATTATTCCTGGAAATTACGCCCTTCCGTAGGAGGGATATCACAGGACGCCATTTTATTTAAAAATATACATGACAAATTTTGATAACAACAAAACGCACTTCTTTATTTAATGTCGTTCATCCACTTGTTTCGATCGCATCTGTTTCTTTTACGGAGGAGGCGTTAAACTTTGCCGTAACCGAATATCAACCACAGATATTTTGTGTTCCCTAGGCACGGCACTTCCAGATGACCCCGACACATTCTGGGCCAAAACAAAATATCAAAAATCACTGTCAAAAAAAAAAAAAAAAAAAAAAAAAAAAAAACATTCGTTCATACATATCGAGGTCATCACATTTGTCCACGCATCCGTAGCTTTAGCAGTGATTATTGCATCGGCGTGAGGGGGCGCAGGTGCAGGTTCGATGCACTCGTTGTTAAAATTATTATTATTTTTATTTGTCGCAAAATTGAATTCGTTCATTAACACTATTGTCGAGCTCATTCACTAAACGTTGGTTGGACATGTTTACTTTATTCATTACCAAACAAGCCAGATGCCACCATTACTGAGTTTATTAAAGCATTTATTTGTGGACGCAATCTAGGTTTAACTGCATCATAATTTTACTGAACGTTAGACGGCCGAACCTCGGCCAGTTTCTTGCCAAAGTAATATCGGGTACATGAAGATACACGCATGAGCACTCCAGCGATAATATTATTCGTTCAGCGAGATCGAGATCGTATAACACAAATATTCATTTCGAAACAGCTTATTTTTTTTCCCCGCGTTCGATTACTGACCCAGTCACACGTGCAACAATGTTTGACGATTACAGCTTCCGTGTTGCGTGACATACGCCACATTGTAGCGGTGTGCTTCTATTTTCTCTCGCTCCGCATGATGCGTTCAGCTTAGCCGCAAATGCAATTTTGCAACCCCGTCCTTGGTCTGTCCGACGTCTCTTTTGCATGTGGACGGCCCGGCTCTCCTCCTTCGCCGCTCCTGTCATCCCGACGAAACAAAGCCGTGTCGCGGCCAGCTGGTTCCTTCGCGCAAATCCTCCGATTTGCCTGCTTCGCTCAAACCTCTGACAGCTGTCGTCTGGGCAGCCGGACATGATTGACACACAGAAGAGACGTTCAAACGCCAGCGGAGGGAGCGGTACCGTCGATTCAATTGCCGTTTCGTTGATTCTATCTCCGGTTTCAAATTCGCCGGCCTTACGTTTTCTAAAAACAGCGCAATTAATAGCTCGTGAGCAGTACCAGACCTCTCTCGAAAGTACAGCTAAGCTACGCGGACGAAAAAAAAAAAAAAGCATGAAGTACCCAAGTACGCAATACTATTCTTGTGTCTCGTCCAGCGTGATGCCTTCATTCCTAATCAGAGATGGATAAGACTGGTTGCGGTGATACGTGCATACCTGAAATTGGGCACGCGAACGTAGATTCGCGAGAAGTTTCATGTCAATTGTTTTAGAGTTCAATTCTGAAGTAGTGAAGCATTAAAAATAAAGCAAAGTCGGAGGTCGTGCATTTCCTATGTCCTATACCAGCCTGCTTGTCGTCCGCACACTGGATTATGAGCTCGCTCCCGGGTGACTTGCTGAACGCAAAAATGCTAAAAACCAAAAGCAGAGGCTGGAGACACTACCAACGCAAACATAACAAAGAAATTTAAATAGAGAGAATTAGGAGAGCGTGTTGGTAAACACCTTGGTATGCGAACTCAAAAGGAGATAAGGACACACAAAACCTTGTTTCCTTTTGCGTTCACATACCAAGAAGAACGAAATTTAACTTGCGCGCTGAATCTTCTTCGGCTAAACGTGAATCAGCATTCCACAGGGATACGGAGGGCACCTCGTATACCCGAGGGGAAACGGTTAGCGCTCGCGAAGCGCTAGTATAGAGAGTTTCGGTACACTTGCAATCAAGCTCTCTCTGACGGGGTTAGGTATATGCAGCAAAGCCAGCAAACACATGATGGCACTCACGCCCTGGTAGTCTCGTAGTACGCCTTGAGTGTGGCCACGAACGGATGGTGGGACACGGCCTGCCAGGCTACACGCTCGGCCTCGACGCGTCGGGCTTCCTGGGCGAGGCATCAGTCAGGGGCCCGTGTTAGCTCGCGAATTGAGTCAGCCGTTGTTCGCTCGCCCGCGGAGGAAGCGATCAGCATTTGCTATCCAAATATCGCCTAAAACTTGCGTCTTTTCAAAACACTTTCTTTTTTTTTTTGCTCGCGTGAATTTTTGAAAATATATAGAGCATCGATTTGGTTATCACAATACCGTAACTGTTACCGAGGCTAGAACTCGCAAAGTTTCTATCGCGTCAAGGTCGGGTAATTTCCGATACGATTGCACTTGTATCTGAATGCGGAACGTTGGTTTATGTTAGACGGGCGGACTGTAGCGTAAGCTTTGATTATTGGACTCGGAGGTGATTAGGCGTATAAAATGTGGTTTATAATTGTATCGGTCGCTCACACATGTATGACCTAAGGAAAGAAAGGTATATACAGAGTGAGGCCTTAAGGACAAACACATTTGGCATGCCTTGCAAAAATCGAATTCCAAACGTGCATACCTGAAATTGGGCACGCGAAGGTAGATTCGCGAGAAGTTTCATGTCAATTGTTTTAGAGTTCAATTCTGAAGTAGTGAAGCATTAAAAATAAAGCAAAGTCGGAGGTCGTGCATTTCCTATGTCCTATACCAGCCTGCTTGTCGTCCGCACACTGGATTATGAGCTCGCTCCCGGGTGACTTGCTGAACGCAAAAATGCTAAAAACCAAAAGCAGAGGCTGGAGATAAGCGAGATAATCGTGATAATTAATATTTAAACGAAATATATGAGCAATACCCACCTGGGAGCAAGCTCACAAACCAGTGTGCAGAAATACACGGCCGCCGGTTCTGCTTTATATTTAATATTTTACCACCTGTGACTTGAGGTCCGAAAAACTTACACACATGCACATAAACCTTCTTGCGAAACTACGTTCGTGTGCCCAATTTAAGGTATGTACAGTACATTTGGAATTCGAATTCTGCAAGGCGTTCCAAATGTGTTGGTCATTACGACCGCACCCTCAATGTGTCTTTTCTTCTTTCCGTATACGACAGCTAAAAAAAGCGCTCGTCACAGTTCACAACATGTGCCTCATTTTCATAGTTAAAGTTTCGAGTTAATTTATTTCAATTTACTGGCGAAAGAGGGGAGACAAGATCTGTAAATAGTGGCATTCATGTCTCGTAAGCACGCCAGACACAACTTTCGACCAAGAGCAAGCGACAGGGTCGGTACTGGTACATACACCTTCTCCTTAAGGCTGGATGGTTCTATGAAGTATGCGGCGAACAGCCGACCAACTTCACCCGGCGGCAGGGTCGCTTTGAGCCACATCTTCCAAACGCATAGCGAACGCCGCCGGGCGAAAGGCATCGCTCTCTCACCGCACATTCACTTCCCCCCCTGGCCCAGACGGTAAGTTGGCGCGCGCAAATTTGCCGACGCACCTTAGCCTGCTCCCTGTGGTGCTTCTCGATACACTTGAGGGCGGCCAGCTCCTTGGTGGCCTTGTGTCGCACCAGGTAGACGACGCCGAAGCTGCCCTTGCCCAGAATGTGCAGCTGCGAGAGCGAACTCAGGCGCCAGTCGCACGACTCGTCCGGATTCACCCAGCTCGAGATGTCGTCCACTTCGCCCAGCGAGATCTGCTACTCCTCGGGAGAAACCCGGCGCCATTCCTTTAGCACGCGCCTCCGCGGCACACGCGAGTCAGACCTATACACATCCCGCTCTACTTATACACCATTCCAATATTTACAAATCCTTAGCGCAGCACGCGCATGTTCCCTCGTTTCGGAAAGCGTGCAAATCGCGTGCCATGCGCACGAGCACTGAACATGGAACCGGCCAGGAGCCCTTTTCTTGGAAAGCTGCATAGACCAGGGCAATAATGGCTTCCTGCGCGCCGCCATCTTTGTCTATTTTCTGGGCATGCGCAGTAGAATATGAGATGCCGCGCATGCGTCCGCAGCTCGGTGACTCTGCATTTCTAGCGTGGCTGCGCTGGATAGGTGAGAGAGGAGCTTCATTTGCCTAACCTCCAGCGCGAGCTTTCTATGCATACAATACACAAGAAGCGCATTATTTACTTACTCCTTTTTTTTACTCTCGGTGCCAGACGAATCGCAGAGGGGTAGCGGCGCAAAAAACAAAACAGTGGCGGAAACAACACTTCAGATGCGTACACAACAAACCGTGCTCATGAGCCAGTAGCCACACAGTTTGTTCTCCCCACATCACCAAAAACGCAAGGGCCAGGCGACTGCGCATGGAATGCACATACTCTAATATATATATATTTGGTCGTAAAATAACTCTTAGGGGTTCTTCGGCTTGTCCGTATTTTGGACAAAAAAAAAGTTATTTTAACCACCCCTTAAAGGGTTCTTCGTGAAAAACCTATAAGGGGTTCTTTTAAGTCGGGTTCACACTGCTCATACATCATGCAAGCGACAGTCTGCAAACACGGGTCACCGCAATATCCGTGATTCGAATGCCGCGTGCAAAGTTTTCTTCCTGAACTCATTGCCATGCGGCATTCTAAGCACGGGCCTTGCGCTGACTCGCGTTCAAATCTGTATGCAGACTCTCTTTTATATGATGTAGAAGCAGTGCGACCCCGGCTTTAAACTCCTCTTTTGTTGGGAAAGAGTTTTTCACCCTCCAGTGGCCTTTCTTGTGTGCCAGGAGGCGACAGTGTTTGAGGCCAAGTTGGGTGCCTAGATGTCTGTCTGTCTGAGGGTGAAGACATCCATTGTTGCCCTGAATGTGCCAGCGCGTGACGCTCTCGCGCACTCGGTGCGTGACTTGGGCGGTAAAATGGCGTCTATGCATTAGCCAAAGCTACGCGCTCGAGCTGAGCGACAACGGATTGCGCGCACTTCAAAAGGCATAAAAAACGATTGGGGGAAAAATGGTTGCTAGATGTCACCACTCAAGCAAAAGCGCGCGTGTGTATGAAGGCACTGTTTCACATGCAGCGATTTCGGACCTATAGAGGGGCGCGATTTATGCCGTCACGGCGCTCTTGTCAGCCGCAGCGGCTGAGCGGCAGGGTTCCACCAGGTTGGAAATTTTTCGCCGCTGCAGGGCGGCAGCTTCCTCGCTGGCCAGTCACAGCGCGGCGGGGAATCACGTGACAGGAAGAGAAACATTGCAGGAAAGCTGGCGCATAGGTCGGCGGCGTTTTCACGCTCTTGAAGCAGACGACAAGCAGAGAAAGTCCGCAAGCGACTGATTTGCGGTTTCTTTTTTCCAGCGTGTAGAGCTTCTTTGCTTCAGCAGTCGCGTCAGAACAGTTCAGGAGATCATGGAGGAGCGGGAGTGCTGTCCTCTTCCTCGGAATATGTTTTCTTAATGAACTACGCGGCTCTTTTTTACTTCCCTCACCTGAGTACCAACTGTATGCGTGCGCAAGAAACGATAATCGGAGGCGGCTTGTTTGAACGCTAGTAAGAACAAAAGAAGAAGAAGAAGAAGAACTGAGCGACATTGACGTATCTTTCCCAACACAGATCATCACACCAAGTAAGACAAAATGTATCGCGTCCAGTTCCATGAACTGCTTATCAGTGAAGTGTCGAAGCGTTCGGTTCTTGGGACGCGCGGCTCAAAGATTTTAGGAACAATGGAATCAAAGAGAAACTCTGGGAAGAGGTGACTGAAGTCGTGGAAGTGATAGACAAAACCGGTATGAATACCCCCCTTTCGGAAATACCACCTACTCCAACATCGTCCAGGAGATTTCGGGTCGGCCATATCAGTTGGAGTCTTTACATCCGAGAAAGGCTCTGCCTGTGACGCTGCCGAGGATGATCCGAGGTTTCATCCTCCGCAAAAACAAAGTTTGAAAAGAAACAAAAAAAACAAACAAAAACATAAACAAATAAGACCAAGGTTTATTTAGTATTTTGAACGCTTTTTTGTTTTCTTAAGGTGAAATTAAAGGGGAAACTGAAAACTAAGGCATTAAGATTGTTGTCAGAAGCCGCCGTAACCGACTGTGCGCATCTGCTTGCTGCAAGCAACATTGGTCATCACCAACGGCAGAAAACGCTCATGTGAAATGAAACCTCGCGATCCTTGCCGCCGCGCTGGTAGCGGCAGCGATTTCGGCGGCGGAATCGCTGCATGTGAAACCCGGTGAAGCCGTTCTTTACGAGCTGAAAGAGATCTCGGGTTGTCGAAGAACCTTTCTAGAACGGATTTGTTTTAGAATGCAGGAGACCCACGTTAGGCAACATCATTGCTTTCACTTATCGTCAGATATTGAAACACAGGTGCTCACAATGCAGCGCAACGAAATACTTTGTTTTCTTTATTTTTTTATTTTTTGCATGAAACCGCTTCCGTAAATATTTACAATCTCGCGTTCTGGGTGATTTTACTGAACTGGGTGGAGGATAATCGACATCGAATATGTAATACCAGACTAAATCGAAAAACAAAACAAAAAAACAAAACAAAAAAACATGAAACAAAGTTGACGTTTGTGTTTATACATACATCGTAACGTTGGCCTGCCTTTGAGGTGCGGCGACACTGGTTTACGCTGTAGATAAGGTATTTAACCAGTCCAGTACCACTGCTAGCCTGGCATTTTTAACGTGTATAGCGCAGTAATGATACACGACCGCACGCCGGTGCGATGCTCATCCAAATCGAAACGGGCAGAAGTGGAGATTGAACCCAGGATCCCTGGGTTCTGCAGAGCGAGCTTTCACTCTACGTGCTCCGAGCACCAGTCCGCTAATACACACTCGGCCACCGGTGACGAAGATTTGTTCGACTGATTCGAACTAATCTCAGCATGAATGCTGACTTGGCACAAAATCTTCAATCGCTCGGTCATGGCCGAAAATATATTTAGATATTGATATTTCCACAAATTAATCAAGAAATATTTTCTCCCTGGCGGCAAGTTTAGTTAGTGGCAAACTTGTTGTCGTGACAACTCAGTCTAAAAAAAAAAAAAATTCATATTAATAGTCGTAGGCGGAACGAGAAGTCAGTCGTTCACTTGACACTGATCTCCAATAGGGAGCTGGATGGCGCATTGAGAAAAGAGGTATGAAGCCACCGGAAGTAAGCGGCTTGTCCCGGAAGTGAGCGCTTGACAGGCTTTTCAACTCTTCCGAGTGCTGGTTTTGAACCATTAGATGTGAAAATTTTGAGCTCCTAGTTTATCAATTGTGCACACGTCTCACATTCAAAAGCGTTATTATCCGATTTTAATTAAAATTGGGTTTACTAAAACCCACTAAAAGGCAGAAGAACGCGTGAACCAAAACGTCGACTGAATGCACCAGGAAGCTCAGCAGACGCCCAACTTCCGGGACAAGCATTGAACTTCCGGTGACTTGACTTGCACCGGGCTGGGAGAGCATCCTATGCGCCACCTGGCCCCCTGTGGTAGAGATCAGTGTCACTTGACAATCAGCCAGGCTCAATTTTTTCGTTAGTTGCGTCCTTCAATCAGTACCAGTATCTCCTCCCTGGGACGGGAAATTTCCTTGTCAAATATTATGGCATCTCTAGCTAACAGGGTTGATTGGAGAATATCGTGATATGACTTTCCTACACACGGCTTGCGAGTGACGACACCGCATCATGCTGGCCGACTTGTTCTTGCGGGCGACAAATTTGGCAATGCGAAATATTCCATGCTGCAAAAGGTATCCGCTCAGCAACAAGACCCCCACAACGGCAGCTGACGTGACGTCAGTACACGTCAGTTGAAACGTAGTGGCGCCAGTGTGCAAATTGCCCCCAACCACTTCCGGTTCTGAACTAGACGGCGCGGTTTTGCAGCTTTTGCGAAATTATGTATACGCGCGCTATCTTCTGGAAAGGGCCACTTATAGCACTGCCAGACTTAATTCACTCCCACGATCAAATAACGATGAGTAAAAAAAATTAGGAAATATACGCGAACCGGAATTGTGCCGGGGCTACCCAATAAATGGCGCTACTGCTTTTGATGGAAAAAAAAAAGAGAAAAAAAAAAGGGGGGGACGAATAGTTTTGAGCGTGATGCCACTCCGACGTTCGTGAAGTTCTAGAGTCCTCTACATGACGCCATGCGATTTAGTGCTGAAACTTCGTACCCAAGCGTCACAGCATAGTTCGAAAGTGATCTCAGACTGTCCCTACACCGGCCCGTGGTCAGGGAGGGTGGCGCGAGACGGCGTACCGATTTGAGCCTAAAGCGGCCGAGCAGTCCCGACAGGATCCCGCAGAGCTCGGTGCGCGATCCCGACGACTTCCCGGTGCCGGTATCGTGCGCGGGCGCGGCGGCGCTCTTGAGCTTGCGCTTCCTGGCGGACGCGGAACCCCCCGGCGGAGACAGCAGCTGCACGTGCGATGGCCCCGCGGACGAGTCCTCGTCGTCGCGCTTCTTCGCCTTCGCGCCGGGCTCTTTGGTCGACATCCATTTCAACGAATTCTGCGAATAGACACAGCCCGGGTTAGGCCCACGGCCCTCTGCCTCCACCGCGACTCCGACTCAGTGACCCTCACGAGGGTACGAACTTAAAAACAGTTAAAGAGTAGATATATTTTTTTTTGTTATCGCTAATGGGCTTGGAAGCTCTTTGTCATTTGCGAGCAGTGTCCGTGAAGTGAATGTCGCCACTGAAAATGGCCTCCGCCACGCACACACCGATCACGCGCAAGCACAGCGAGCCCGGCGCGAAGTTCCAGACGGGTCCATGTCCGCGCGCTCCCGTCGACGGGTCAGCTCGCCGAGGAGCAGCTATGCACGATTCCCTTTTGTTTCGTCCTTTAAAGGGACCATGAAATGATTTTAAAATCGAGTTTCATCCACCGCACGTCGTAAAAGGTGTGAAAAGAAACACAAAAACACAAAAATAGGGAGCCCAAAAAAAGTATTTGCTATAGAACTTTTAAAAGAAAACTGGACTCTTTTGCGCCTTCCTTCCTTCGCCTGTTCACTACGATGCATACGCAGAATCGGTGCACGTCAGCCGAATCCACATCGCCTATTGGGTAAGAGCCTACCTCACCAGCACCGCGATCGTAAACAATAAATAGCCGGCGAATGTTTCCTAAAAGTTTTGTTAAATAATATTCAGATCCACATTTTGTAGCATAATTAGAGATGTGTGGCGAAAATTGCCAAATTTGATAATGCTGAGAGCCAAGCGCCATCTATCGTGTGGTAAACGAAGCAACTACTGCGCGTGCGCAGTAGGGCAGGGCCGCCAGTTACTTGGGTGACGGCGACCGACGAACATTTATTTTGTTTGTTTTCCTTCCTCTCAAAACTCTGACTGACTGAACGTTTATTTTTCTACGTGTTCTTCCCGCGCGTGCCGACTTCAAGCAGCAAGAAAACAGTACTGAAAACAGACCACGACGAACAAGAACGCTGGATTCACCGACTCTGACGAAGCGTATAGGCCTAGCAGGCATTCCGACTCGGCGCTGCGTTGCTTCGTCGCAAGACCGTCTGCCTACGACCGGCTGGCGTGCTAAATGGAATATGCCCGCGCGACTCTTGTGGACCCTTCCCGTATTATAGTTTGATCACTGACCTCAATTCTAGATTAAGAGGTGAGGTCAATCTCTTCCCCTTGTTTTCCGAGGCAGTGTTGACGAACACTCGTCGAAAAGGGACTCTCGTCGATTCTATCTTCTTGTTTTGTGTGATATAGAGCTGAAATAAACGCCGCATGGATTGCCTTCGTAACACGGTATGTACACTTTGTTATTGGTATGCCATTTTTATTCTGACAGACTGCACGTCACTGTCGACCCCGGTCCAACCTTTCTTTGCCGAGTGTCGCGTCAGTATCGAGTTGCAATCGTAAAAGAACGGTCCCGAAGCGCTTACCAACAGCGCGAATACAAGACTTCCATCAAGCGCGCGCGTCCGCTCCGAGTGTAAACAGGTATTTACGTGGCTCTTGCTGACACTCGTAGTTCAAACGTATCTTTTTTAACGTCGGCTCGCTCCTGCATCTCGGAGGCCGCGAAAAACGCCATTTACGTCGCTTTGCAAACGACTGACACGGGCCGGCCCTTCTGCCAACAATGACGGAGTGGTGACAAGACTCGCTGCACTTCCCAACAGGCATACCGGCGTATGGGACTAGTCCCATGCTGTCGCTGTAGCGCAACATATCTCATTGAATTTCGCTCAGCTGCGATGCGGCGATGAGAGGCGCCGATTCAGGAAATACGTCGGTGACATCAGCGCAGTAAAACCTACCGGCGCACCCCAACTCGTTGCCGCTAACACTCCCATCACTCCCATTCTCCTACTGCCGAGAGAACTTCCGGTTCCGGAAACGGTCTACGTCACGGCTTCTTTTGCGGTCAGTTGGAGAGAATGAAAAAGTCGATATTTCAATAATTTTTTGTGTAAAAGTTAATAAACCGAGACGAAAACGGATGCCTGTTCGGCATTCAGTGAACATTGACGGTTTAATGTAAAAGTTATCTGGAAAAAGTAAAAAGGTCATTTCATGGTCCCTTTAAGGCCGCCACCAAGATGTGTCCTACGCACCACGTAGCACACCGTCGACAAACGGCGCCGGAGCATGGAGCAGTCATCTGCGAGCCTGTCTGCATGGCCTTAAACACACTAGAGGGTAAAACAATCGCGCTCTTATTATGCGAGGTGTTTTTCTGCGAGAGTCGACGCAGATAAGGCGCATCGAGCAGCTGGCAAAAGCGAGCTCTTGCATTTGGGAAAATTTGTGCAAAAGTGAGCTCTTGTATTCGAGCGAATTTGGGAAGGCCTCCTGCGGTCCTCGCACAATTAGCGCTTTTTATTGTCAAGTAAAGGTTCAAGGTCTTTTAACACCAAATGTTGCATGATCGTCTTTTTTTTTTTTACTATCAATATATTATTTTATGCCAACTGAACGTAGTCGTCATGTTGTGACTATACTGCAAGATCAGTATACTATGTTATCAGTGACTGCGCGGTTCATTAATGAAAAAAAATGCGCAGGACGCCCCACGAACTTCTTGTTACTTCGTGTATGTAAACCGTTGGTCAAACACTTTCGGTGTCAACGTTCTAAAAAAAAAAAAAAAAAGATTGCAGCGATTAAATCGAAAAGTGCATATCACGCATACAACATACAACACAGTATTCGCTGCAATAAAGAACAAGCACAAAACAAGCACCCGAGCCACATAATTGATACTAAGGCGCTCCTGATAGCAATGCGAAGCACGTAGCGCTCACCGCATACGTTTTTCGGTAAAGATTACTGTTGCGCAAGCTACCGCGGCGACGGCAGCTTGCGATGGGGGGAGTGACGTCACTAGCCTTTCATATATAAAAGAAGACGCCGCATATAAAGTTCTACTACTCTTGATTACTTCGAGTTACTGTTGACCGAATGAACTTTAATTCGGCCTAATTGACATTGTGATAACTCTTCATTACATTGAGCTAATATTCAACCAACTGATGTATTGATGTATTATGATTGACTGTTCGCTCAAAGCAATCAAAAGAGTCATTGCAATGTGAATTAGGCCGGATTAAAGTTTATTGGGTCAAAAATAACTCGAAGTAATCAAAATAGTAATTGTGATTTTAACTAAACTAATAATAAATAAATTGGTTGTATCATAATTCAAAGTAACCAAGGAAGTCATAAAGATGTCAATTAGGCCGAATTAAAGTTCAACGGGTCAATATCAACTCAGTGTAATAAAAATAGTAATCATCATGTCCAATCAGCTCATAATAAAAATTTTGGTTTACGATTAGCTCAAAGTGATAAAAAGAGTAATGGATATGTCAATTAGGCCGCATTATATTCCATTCTATCAAAAGTAAGTCGAAGTAATCAAAAGAGTAATATTAATGCGAATTGAGCTCATAATAGCAGTCAAGAGAGTCGGCAATATGTCAATCAGGTTGATATAGCGTTTATTGAGTTATTAGTAATCGAAGTAATCAAACTACTAATCGTAACATCAATTAAGCTCACAACACATCAATTGGCTGAATATTAACTCAAACTAATCAAGTCCTCAAGACTTCATTACTTTGATTAGGGCGAATTAAAATTCATTAGGCCAATAGTAATTAGAAATAATCAAAAGAGTAATCATAATGTAATCATAACTTCATAATAAATCGGTTAGTCTATTATTTGCTCAAAGCAACGTCAAGAATAATCATGATGTCAATTAGACCAAATCAAAATCCATTGGATCAATAGTAAGTCGAAATAATCAAAAGAGTGACCATAATTGTAACCGAGTTGAGAATAAATCACTTGGTCGTATAAAAGCTCAACGTAATAATGAGAGTGAGGATTATGGTCATTAGACCAATTTGAAGTCGAATAGGTCACTATAGTTACTCAAAGTAATCAAGATGTCAGTAATGCTGATCTAAACTCAGTTATGTGACTAATATACGGGGATAGATAAAAAGTACCCACACAGTTAATTTAGTTCATTTAAATTCGATTGGAGTAATCAGGTGAGTAATCCAAATCTTGACTGAACTTTTATGCAGTCGGATTTTCTATAATATTTCAAAGTACCCGACTGAGTAATGAAAATTTGCTTATATAAAGTTATTTGTGTCAATAATACCCATATCACCAAAAAGTAATTTGAAGGTAAAATGAGCTTCTACGAAGTTATATTTTTGTTAATATTTCCTCAAAGGAACCAAGTGAGCAATAAAAATGTTTGTTAAACTTTTATCATGTAAATAGTGTTATTAATAGGTAGAAGTAATTAAGAGTGCAAGCCTTACGTCCACTAAGCTCTGAATAAAGTCAGATGTGTCAATAATACCGCGAAGTAATAAAAAGTCTGATCACAAACCGCAATTGCATTGATATCTTCTGAATTTTATCAAGAATAAGTCGAGCTAACATGAAAGAGTAAACAAAACGTCGATTCAGCTAAATTAAAGTTGACTGGGCCACTAATACCTAGAGGTTATCAAAAAGAGTTATCAACATGTCATTAAGCAACGTCAATCATGCGACTAGTAACTCCAACTAATCAAAATAGTGATAAAAATATCAGTTGCCCCCAACAAAATATAAATTTATAAACAATTACATTTAAGTTATCAAACGTGCAAGCGAAACGCGACCGCTAAAGACAAATCAGCACATGAATGTATGTATTGTGGATTGAATTGACTGACGCCGGGACTAAATCGAGTAGCACTGTGATTAAATTGGATGGCGCTCGAATTACATCGGATGGCATGCACTCGGACTAACTGATAGTCGTTTGGAATAAAATGAGCGGGAAAACCTGTAGTTTTTTTTGCCCCGCTCGTACTTGGATGAAACGGAGTGAACTAAACTTCGTTCCACCAGATGCAGCCGACACTACGAGTTGATGAAATCAACTCCTAGTGTCGATACCTTGGGGGCTGGTTGGCGTATACTTGAACGAGTATATGAAGCT